TATAAGTCTACCTACTACCTACTTACTAAGTCTCTTAACCCTAAGCCCTAAACCCTATAGTATCCCTATAGAGCCCTTTAAGGCACCCTTATAATCCCCTTTTAAAGGAGCCCCCCTACTTACTAAGTCCCCTAAAGACCCTCCAAGTAGGGTCCAGGAAGACCCAAAGTGCGGCTTTGGGTTCCTTGGGCAGGAGATAGGGGTTCCGCTTTTTTGATTTTTATTGATCCTGCCATTTAATTGTTTTTGGTCCTAATTTATGTGTTTTTGATCCTTAGTTGATTTTTTGTTGATCCTTGTTTAATTGTTTTTTGATCCCTCACCCGCTGGGTAGCTTCAGATGGTCTTTCTATCCGGCTCTACGCAGCCTGCTCTCGATCTTATAGCCTACACCCTTAGCACCCTGAGCCCGTAAACCCCCTTTCGGGTTTTTTTGGGATTAGGGCCTCCTTTCAGGGGAGCCGAAGGGTTACAGGAGTTTTGCACTACTTGGGCGCCGGTATCGCATCTTCTGGTCAAGTTTGTTGGCGCTGCCGTCCTTGTAATCAAGAGGGTACATACTAGTGTCATGGGTATGGTTTTTTGGGGACCTAGTTCCATAGCGGTAGTGTATGTAAACCCTCTGGGCAATCAAGCTTGCGCTGTCATCCTCAAATGCAAACCTGCCAAGTGTCGTTACGAATGTTCGAGTTTGAGGTCTTTGTGTTTCTTCGAGCGTATTCCAAAATCCCTGATTGAGGCCGAAGATGCCTCGAAGTTTAGAAGGGCTCCTGAATCAAACATGGACTTTCTAAAGACGTTGTTTGATATTGAGATCCCGGGTAGAACTCACCAGGTCCCTTGTAGAAGCCGAGTGCACTGAGGAGGTCAGAAGCCAATGCTTGTCGCGACGACGGTGGCTGACAGGTTCTTTGGAATCTGCTCTCCCGAAGGGAGCCAAGACAGATTCCCCTGAAGAGGATCTTCCATGGATTGTAGGAGTTGGGTGCGGGTTTAGATGTCCATGAAGGAGTTAGCTGACTTCTGCGGATGCTGACGCCGCCGCATTCCGAGTCGGGACATTTCAAGCCTACAGCAGCCCTGAACCCTCAGCTCTAGGCTAAACCGCAAATACTACCTTAACCCACCAGAACCTGCTTTTTTGTAGGGTTCCTATACATTCCATGCAAAGATTTTTAGCAAAGAACCTCCAACGAATAGGTTTTGGTAGGTTAAGGCAGACACCAAGCCTTCCGGGAGGCCCCAGGAGTCTTTCTGACGGAGCCTTTCGTGTCAGCCTGAAATCAGAAAAGAAAGCATCTCGTTGGCCTTCCTAACCCTGGGGTTCAAAACAGTCCAAAAACCTTACATATTATAGTCTTTGGGCTCAAAAGCCTTAATATGTGAGTCCTTCGAGCCCTGGGTATGCAGTCAGGCGGCGCCATACTCTCCCCCCCGCAGCAGGCTTTGGGGTTACGGCTTGCAGTTTCGACTTTGGTGAGTTGGGGGTTCAGGGTTTGGGAGCCGTTCTCCTCCGCCTCCTCATGATGGTTGGGCCGCGGCGGTTCCGGACTGCCAAACTAGTGCTCATGCTGAGTGTCCAGGCTGTTGCTCAAGTTACGGATATTCATACTGTTGCCTCGGTGGCGATTGTTTTCGTTGTTCTCACCATACTGTGTGCTTGATATCACTATATTCGGTGAAAGAGCTGGACCACCCGGCATCCCGTAAATACGGCGTTGCTGCTTTGTGGTGAAGTTGTTCTACGGTTGATGATATAAATCCTGCATGACCAATAATAAGGAATGTACCATAACTCCCATAGTTTAGGGTCATTAAGGTAATGCAGGATTTATATCATCAACCGTAGCACTGTAGCAGCAGCCGTCTGACTCTTGAACACTGCCCGGTGTTTGCGGCCGCAGCTCCTTTGTTTCATCCGCCGATGTAGTGGTCGCGTGAAGTTGCCATGGTTCCCCCACCACCGGCGCACAGTGCGCTTGCGACCTGCTTCGCAGCAGTGGGCCTTGGGTTCTGCCTTGACAACGTCTGCGGCTGCGTGAAGTTTGCTGTGCTGGCCGTCTTTCGACCATGCGGCCAAGCAGCCAGTGCCGTGATTGGCTCAGCAAGCCGTTGGGTAGAAGAACGCAAACAACAGCGAACATCGAGATCAAAGAAGACATCGCGCAAGAAAGTGAGTATTCCCGATGACAGTGATTGACTGTGCAACGGACAAACCTGCCTGGATGTATGCCGCTACGACCACGTTTGAACTTGACTGGGAATAGCAGGCTTGACGCTACCACTCGAAGAGTTGTGTCAAAGTAGTCTAGACTGACATGCGCATGCAAGAATCACCGGAGGTGAGCATTGCAAGCAAACCCGGAGGCAACTGCAACTCGTGCAAGAACAGCTGGAGCGGTGTGCTTTTTCGAAGTCGTGTTGGGCTTCCGGTCTCAGGAATCAGAGGTGGAGTAAGCACTCGCGGGTGTAGGTAAGGTGTATAGAGTTGCCGAAGTCAGGGTCAATTCTGGATCGTTCAGCCAGGTGTAGGGTTGAGGGTTTCTAACTAGTTTCCCCAGTAGTACCTTTGGGCCCTTGTCCTGTTCCTGTCTAACTAAAACAGAATAGTAGGAACTAGGGCGCCCTCATTCTTAAGAAGCTACTGGGGCACCTAGTTTTCAAGTTGGGACCCGGGTGGTTCAGGGGCTTCGGGGTCAGGAGTTTGGGGTGCGGATTTGTTGAAAGTGGTTTAGGGTTTAGGGTTCTGGGTTTCCTTCAGCATCCTCCGAAAGGGCGCTCGTCCGGGTTTCAGGGTTTAGTCACAGGACCCCTGTCAACCCTAAACGCCAAAATCTAATCCATACTAGATGATACATGAGTCTCACGGCCTCTGACTTTCTAGATGCTGGAGATAGCCAGACGAGTTTGAGGCAGGTGTTGGTTCAGATCATGAGGGCTGGTTTAGGGCTTAGGGGTGTAGGGTTTGGTACCATGCTCCTTGTTTTCCAAAAGGGAAGGAGATTCAGAATGGCACCCTACCCTTGACAAGTTCGATGGGTCTTCTTCCTGTTATGGTTCTTCATTCGGCCCTTTAAAGGGTTTAATCTTTAGAGCTTAGGATTCCTAGAAGCTTTTTCTACGGCTTGGGAAGAGCTTCTAAGGATTCATAAGGTTCTATATGGGTTCTATACGGGCTGAGCCTCACATTCAAGACCCCCCCCCACACCGTAGGACTGAACCAGTTTTCGCTAACCTCAAGGGCTTCGGCCCCTAAACCCTAAACCCGCACAGAAGTACCGCTCCCGAAAAACCCTAATCCAAATCGCCTAAACCTGACGACCACTGGTACCTCCCCGTAGGCCCCATAGTAGTTCCTTTTTGGAATTACCTTATAGGGTTGTAAATATGAACCCCAACAAGTCTTACTGTCTGGTTCTTAGCAGGGAATCGGGAAATGGGTTATGGAGACTATTATTGGGGATTAAATAGGGACTACTAGAGGGATCCCTTCCCCCAGTCCCTACCAAGCACCAGACAGTAAACCTAAACCCTAAACCCTATAGAACCCTTAAAGGAACCGTTATACTACCCAGAAAACGAACAGAGCCCCGCCCCTGTTGAAACGGGGGTCTTTGAAGCGACGAACGGGTTCCTTTAAGGGTTACCGGATAGACGGGTTCCTTATTTAAGGGTTATTGTAAGGGTTTGGGGTTTATAAGGTTTAGGGTATCGATATAGTAGAATGTAGCGTTTCTATATTCGGAGTTACTATCATGATTTGAGGAAGTATCCCCAATGACAGTACCTAGGATCCTTTGGGGATATGAGAGAGAGTTGCCTGCAATCCTCATGGATTGAGCTGGGTGCCAGGCTTCGCAGACGCCAGCCGGGGCAAATGCACTAAACCGTAAGTCCTGAACCTGAGAGCCTGTACCCGAAACCCTCAAAGCCCAAACCAACCAATGCAAGGCGCTGTTTTCGCCGGTTCAAGTTTCAATTCTAAAGTTAAATGCATCAGAGAAGCTCCTGCATGAGCATTTGGCTCGCAGTCTCCTTACAGCGTCTCGACGCGCCGAGACCCGGTCCGCCTTGCCAGCACTTGCTGGGTTCTGGAGTACCGGTTCTAGGTTCCTTTCAGGCTTGCTTAGAGGATGGGTTGTATCCCTAAGGGTCCAAAGGACCCAATAGTCAGGTACTCGGGTTTGGGATAGTAGTTATGTAGGGTAGTATTTGGGAGCGTATTTTATTAGAGGTACTTGGACCCTTGGGGTATACGGGCTAGGATTTAGGGCTTTAGATTGCAGTTTCGGGTCTTAGGTCTGGGGATCTTGTGCGCACCATAGAGTTGGATTGTTGAGACCCTCGTCCTTGTCTCCGTGGTCGCTTTAAAGCTTTGAAGATGAGTGGAGGTGGAGGGGGGTTCGGGAATCTCGCAGAGGCTGCATGTGGGTGACTTGGTGATCAGAGAGTTTTGGGGTCCACTACAGCACAGCAAATAACGGACTGCGAGGGAATGTCATGAACAATTCAGACCCCTAAGCGAAGGCCTTGGATTTGAGTGTTTTGGGGGATTGGTGTTTCAGGGCGAGCAATGTTTAAAGCCTCGCACAACTTCAATCTTTGTTGCACCTGCCCCTACAAGAACCTGAGAAGTCATCCTTTAGTAACCGGTGTCGTATCATGAAGGGCGACGTAATTGCAAATAGCATTCCCATGTAGTCCTCATGTTCCCGTAAGTATGCCATAATAAATATACCCAAGCTCCTCTATATATATATATATATATATATATATATATATATATAGGCGTATACACGAACCCTTGAAACAAGTAACCCTTAGCCTCAAGCCCAACACCCAAAGCCCTACAAACAAAACAATACCTAAACCGTAATACCCTAATGCCCGAAAACCCTAACCCTAAGCCCTAAACCCCTAAAGCCTCAAGCTCAACACCCGAAACCCTCGTAAACAAAACGCTTGCAAACCCTCCTCAGGACCTTCCGCAGCCTGGAGCCATGCCAAACGAGGTGCTTCGAGGGCTTTTAGGTCCGTCTACCTGTGATGTCTCATCATGATAACCTATAGTGTATATTCTCGTACTAGTGTCGCATGTTATCGTATGTTGGAGTGTTATAGTATATTGTACTGTCGTAGTAGATTCTATTGTAGGATATTGTAGTAGGTTATAGTAGGTTATGGTACAGTTATAGCTATGGTAGGCTATAGTAGATATAGTAGATTACAGGTCTCTCTTTATCGGCTTTAGCGAGAGATTGGAACCGTCAGAAGGTACGATTTTCAGAGACTTACAACTTAGGACTCCGAGTCTTCATCAATTTCGAGGTTTGTCAGGTTCAGGGTCTAGGGTTTCGTTTCGGATGGAAAAATTGCTAGGTTTTCTCGCCATGTGGGTTGTATTGAGGGTTGTATTGGGTTCAGCAGTCCGATGATGCATGATGTAGTATAGACACCGGAAGTGGCCTGAAGAATGACCGATACTAGTCCTTCTGGTTCCTGAATATAGTTGTGCTATAAGTATGATTATAGGCCCTTGTTCTAATCAGTAAGGCAAGGCCTTACAGTATGGTCATGTTGCAGGAGGGTAGCTTGGACTTGCGTCCCAAGGACGGGTATGGACCCACGTGCACTACACAGACACACACCGAAAGAGACGACTGGATCATGTCAACAACCGAATATTGAAGCCTGAAATGGCTCGATATACTATTCCTTAGAGTGCATTGGTATACTTCTACTACCGGCGCGCTTTGGCAGACAGTTCCCGGACACGCTTTTTATATTACCAGTAGGGTTTAGGTTCAGGGTTATACCCTGCGGAGCGAAAAAACGAATCAAACGGCTGTCGTCGAACACGTCAAGGCACCAGTTATTACTATAATAGGGGCCGGTATATCTTATTATGTATACATATAATAAGGACCCCCCCCCTCCCCCAAGATAGTATAGTTAATTATTACCTAAACCCCAAGCAACCTACCTTTTTAAGGACTGGTATAAAGAAATCATAGTAGGGAACCCTAAACAGGTAGGTTCCGTAGGGTCTAATCCCCCCAAAAAACAAAGTATAAATACTTATTAAGGCCCCTTTATTGAATCAGGACCCCTGACAAGAAACCGCTGCCGCCTTAGACTCGAAACCTCGGTTCCAACTCCACCCCCAGCATTCCCCGAAGCCACGAACCCTAAGGGTCCATGCCTGAATAGGGTTCCTTTGAGGGTGTCTATAAGGATTCCGAGAAGGGTTTAGGGTTTAAGGGTCCATGTACCTACATAGTATATACATTGGCCTTAAAGTAGTCGCTATATGGGTACATTGGGGCCAAAGTATATACTACTTGGGCACATGGACCCTTAGGGGAACCCTAAGTCCAAACCCGAAGCAGCGCTATTCGCCCAGGCACGAACTCCTCTCGTTAATGCTCGGGCCTCGTTATGGCATTACCCCTATAGCAGCTTCTTTTGGGATGACCCCCAAAAAGGAACTACTACAGGGCTCAAAGGTATGGTCATGCGCAGATTTAGACCTTATATTGTTCCGGGCTAGGGACTTCGGCTCACATATCGTGTGTATGTACACCTACGTACACACCTAGACCATGTGTTCATGTATTGAGTCTGTGTACATGTATATGCATGTGCCTCATGCTGTGTATGGAGAGATGGAAGGAGGATGGAGGGAGAGAGGGATGGCGGGTGAAGTTTGTTCGTTGTTCCGGACGACATTCGTGGTTTCAATTGTGGCAGGTCCATATCATAGCTACCCCGGAAAACCCCACTGTTATGAGGCCCCCAAATACGTCGTAGGCATTTGACTAGAACATTTCAAAACTCCAATCCGGAAACTCGCAAATCCCAGAAACTCTCATAAACCTCAACACCGCTGCACGCTGAAACCTCAACACCCGCTATGAACTTATAGCCCCGAACCGGTTCTACCAAAGATTCTAGGATGGAGTTTCAACTCCGGGGTTTAGTGATGTTCAGGGTTTAGGGTAGGGTTTAGGGTGTTGGGTGTAGCGTTCCCAAGCATTCCAAACACAATGACGCGACTGCGGTCTGTTAAACAAGCCCATAGGCGAATGCTGATTAATGCCCCGAGGTCCTAGAACACCCGAAACTCCAAAGCCTTTCATGCCAAAGCCTAAAGTTGCCTCAAGCCGTAATTAGCTCCGTGACCGTGAGTTCTGTGTTTCGGACCTGTCCTTTTCCCGAACGATCTGGAGCCCGAAAGCCTGCCACAACTCCAACGAATCCGGTCTAGAAGCTCTGTATATGCCCGAAAACCCAAATCCTAAAACCGAAAAAGCCGAAACTCTAAACCCTGAGCCTTAGGACCCCTGAAACGTGAAACCCTTACTAAATCCCAGAATCTTAATTAAAACCCTAAACTCAAACCCCGAAGCCCTAAAACGTGAAACCCTTACTAATCACAAAACCAGGCCGAGCTTGGTCATATGCAGCCGGCGCAGCAAAGTATGGCCAGCGCCCTCCTGTTCCCAGAGAGCCCAATACCCCTTAATTAAGCAATACAGCTTAAATCATAATATGAAGCCCTGTATGATTTAAGCCATATTCCTTAATTAAGGGGTATTGGGCTCTCTGGGTCCTCAGGGTTCCATTATCAGGTAAGCTTGAACCTTTTTGGGGGTTTTTGTAATCCTGATGGTTAACCTTCAGTTCCCCTAGGATACTGGGCAAGTAAGCTTCTAAAAGGGTTCTAGAAGGGTTTAGCGGCCAGGGGCTGAGGGCTTTGGGCTTGCAGGTTTAGGGTCTCACGGTTTAACCCCAAGGGTCCAAACAGGACCCAATAAGAAGGTACTTGGGTTTAGGATAGTAGTTAGTATTTTGGAGAGTATATGGGGGGTTTCCCAAAGTAGGGGACCCTAATACAGTACCCTAAATAATAGGATCCTTATTATAAGGGCCCCCAAAATAAGGTACCCCTAATTTCCTGAAACTCCCATATGATTATTAGGTACTTGGACCCCCTAAGAAGATCCCACTCTGCCTCTGACGGTGCTGCGGCTAATGCGCGTGTTCTTTTGCAAGTGCCCAGACCTTCCCAGCATACCTCAATAAAGGAATACAGGAGACCTGACGACATCTTAGAGATCATGGTACAATGCAGGGCATGTTGGAAGGCCTGGGCGTTTTGTGTATGTTACAAGTTTGAAGGCTTCGGAGCCATAGCCAGCATAAGCTCCCTCTGTCAGTCAGGAACGTCTGTAGCCCGAAAGGCTCCGAAGTACCTAGACAGCAGACTGTAGGTCTCTATCTTAGGAATTACTATTATGATTTGGGGAAGTATCCCTCGTGACAGTACCTGGGACCTTTTCAAAAGTCTACACACCATGGTCCAAGAGCAAACGCAAATGTAGTCGAGAAGGCTGGGGATGGCTTGCGTCATAGTCCTCCGTGTCTCTTCTATACTCTATATAGACGTAGAAACTCCCTGACACTCAGAGCGCAACGAACTTGCTTGTACCCAGACCTTTGTATCCTTTCATTAAGATATAAATCTTAAATGGTGCGAACTCTATGATGATTGAAGGTATATTTTTCAAGTAAGGGATATATTCCAATGTCTGGGTACCTCTGGGGTCCTTTATTTTCTGGAAACCCGAAACCCTGACTTCTCCAAACCTTTAACCGTAAACCCCAAAACCCAAAAACCCTAAACCCTAAAACCCTAAACCCTAGAACCCGAAATCCTAAACCCTAAAAACCTAAAACCCTTACATCCTAAGCCCTAAAACCCCAAACCCCTAGAACCCAAAACCCTAAGCCAAGCCCTCGTAGCCTGGGGACAGTCATGCTGCGCCAGGGCAGAGCCACTGCGCCGTCCGCACGTCAGGCTTGAAGGGTGTACCTGTAGTCTCCATTGTAGTTTCTTTTTTTGGTTCAACCAGTTATATATTAAGGATCCTATAAGGTAACCCCAAACAGGAACTACAATGGAGACTATAGGTAGGATTGAGAATTTGTTATTCTAGTATGTTCCAGGACCCCCCAAGGGCCTTTTGAAAGAAGCCTTATGGCCAGTAATTAATAGGGGTTATTTGTGGCATATTAGAGGATAGTTGAGAGGTTGAGGTTATGGTGTATTCTAGTATATTATAGTACACCATTCTTTAATACTATGTTTTTCTATATTACAAGGAGCATGAAGACTGCCGTCGGCGTTGGGATGTACGTTCCGATATCGAGATCTGACCAGCTTTCTGTGGTTACCATTTTTGGGTGGGTAGCTATAATATCCTCATGAGGTGGGGGTGTAGATAACCTACCAATCTCTAGTCCTCTCTAGTGCTCCCTAAGGTTCCCTTAAGGTTCCCTAAAGATCTCTTGTACCCTCCCCCCTTGAACCACCCTCCCTTAAGGACCCTCTAAGGTAGCTACGCGGAACCACACCATCCATGATAAACCCTAGACCATACACCCCACAATGCCCATACCATAGGAGCTTAAACAAGGAATTGCCAGTGTTGTTCCTTAGGGTTCCTGATTGCAACTATACCTAATTACATCCCAAAACCTTTCTCTGTTTTTTTGAGTCCCTGAAATTTACACCCAGCCCTATACCCTGAACCCCTAAGAGTCCTAACCCTGACTCCATCGTCAACCTGAGCATTTTGCCTGCCCTGGCCTGAAACTTGTCTATGCTTCCGACGGCCTTTGTGTGAGGGTGGCTTTGCGGATTTCTTTTCTGTTGACAGCGGAGAGTTGAGACTGTAGGGCATCCGGGTCAGAATAACTGGAAATAACATTCCCTAATAGCGCACACCAAGATCCTAAACCCTAGACCCTAATTACTAACGTTTTGATGGCACTCACTGGCACCTTCATCTTCTGAGACCCCTTTGAGCTTTAGCATACAAACACGGCTTCGAAAACTTAGGGCTAAGGAAGGCTAGGGTTCAGGGTTTGGGGTTGTTTGCGTAGGGCATGTGAGGGTTTCTCGATGTAGGGTGGGAGTTTAGGGCATCGGGTTAAGGGTTGTGTAAGGAGTTTAGGGCTTAGGGAGTTTATTATAAGTTTAGGGTTCAGGGTCAAGGGTTCTGAGGGTCTAGGGTGTGTTGGTGGGTTCTGCCCGCGAGGCAGTCAATGATGATGCGTTGATGCGACAGCCTCGGTGCAATTGTCGTGTCTTCTAGCACCAGCCCTCGCTCCAGAATCCCCATTTTGCAGCAGCAGGTCTGCCTTACTTACCATCTCCTCTGAGTGCTGCGACTGATACTGATGGCCACAATTTTTCTGATAATGGCAGTTCAAGCCAGCAGATACAACAACAAACTGTAAGAGCATCAGCACCCGGAGATGCAGTCGGCATACCGGAAAACAACAACCACAAACCTTCCCTCAGGGGTACTTAGAAATAATTTTCAATTTTTGGTCATGATAATCGCTAAGAAACAGCTAGAATATTAATTGTTGCTAGGGTTCCAAGTTCAGTATAGTTACGTAACTAAGGAATATGGCTTAATTTATATAGGGCTTCATATTATGATTTAAGCTATATTCCTTAATTAAGGAGTATTGGGCTCTCTGGGTACGTAGACACAGAACCCCTAAACCCTAAACCCTAAACCCTAAGAAACAGCTAAAATTTTAATTTTTGATAGGGTTCCAAGTTCAGTATAGTTACGTAGACGCAGAACACTAACCCTAATAGGGTTTCAAGGTCTACAAACCATGTAGAGTAATTATGGGTTTGGGGACCTGAAACCCTACTATTTGGGTACTTGGACCCTTTGGGTAAAACCCTAATCCCTATAGATCCCTTATAGATCCCTTTTAAACCCCTTTAAAGGAACCCTATAGGTATCTTCCTTAATTAAGGGGCCCCTTGAGCTCTTTGGGTATTTGGACCCTCTGGGTAAAACGCTCTGGATAAAGCCTGAGCCAACCGACTCTGAGGTCTGCGCAAGAGCAAACCCCAGTGGGTAGCTCAGATTCTTTGGGTTTTGTTTTTTTTTTAGTTTTGGGTTTATGGTTTAGAGTTTGAGGTTCTAGGGCTTTCAGGTTTAGGGCTTGCTGGGTTTGACAGGGTTTTAGAAATGTTTTTGTTTGTGGGTTGTTTGCGCGCGCGGGTTTTAGGTGGTTGTTTCAAGAAGCTTTACACCCTGATTCAACCCCAAGCCCCCAAATACCAGAGCCTAACCCTAAACCCCACAGGGCTTTGAGGGGTTTGACGCTTTGGACCTTGGGTTGAAGCTGTTTCGGAAGCTTTGGAGTTAGGTGTGGACCTTGGGAGGTTTCATACTTGGAGGCCCAGGGGTCTTAGTAAGCAGGTGACAAGTAGGGTTACAATTGGGGTAACTCCAGTTAGGGTACTTATAACTTATAACCTCTATACTTACTAACTCCGCTGGGCCTCCCAGTAGGGATTAGGAAAATGCCATGTGGGTAGTTGTCCAAATTATGGCCCCTTTTGGGGTACCCTAAATATTAGGTGTCGTATTGTCATAGGGACCCAAACAGGGACCATAATTTGGAAAAACCACCCATGTGTCCTCAGGAGTTCTTTTTGGGGTTAGCCCTAAAGCCTCAAGCCTCAACCTCATGGCCGAAACCCTGAACGCTGAGCCCTAACCCCTACCTTAACCCCGAATAACCTACCTTTTTAAGGACCTATATAAGGAGATCATAAGGAGCCCGAGAAAGGTAGGCTATTCAGGGTTAAAGTAAACCCTAAACTGGCTGAGCCCTAAACCCTACACAGCCTAAACCCTAAACCACTAAACCCCTAAACCCCAAACGGGCTGGATGCGTGGCTTGATTTCCATTTTGGCTTATGCCCAGGGCCTCCGCGAACGTAGGGTTTATAGGGTTCAGGGGTCGGATGATTTGGTCATAGTATCCCAAACCCTAAAAACATAAAGCCTAAACCGGTCATAGTAGCCCTGATCGAGTATTTGGTCATACCCTAGGGGTCAAAATAGCACAAAAGCCCTATATGGTATGGTCTTTGGGCCCAAAAGCCTTGATGAATGAGTCCTTAGATCCCTCGGGACAGTATCCTTGGAAGTTGGCTCTCAAGTAAGCCTCTTTCCGGCAAGCAGTCAGGCTTACCGGGCTCTCTATGAGAACAACCTCATCTGCAACCAGTGCCCAGCCATGAACGTGGGGGTGGGTGGGCATGAGGATGGGGACGGGGTGTAGGGTGTCGGGTCCTTTGGATTTAGGGTTTGTGGTTTAGGGTTTAGGGTTTAGGGTTGAGGTCAGGGTTTGGAGTTTAGGCGGCCACATACATGCGGTAATCCGTTTTGCAAGAATTCCGGTCTGACACGGCGGGATTTCTTGAGGCAAACGAGCGGCCGAGTCGAAGGACCATCCACTTGTGAAAGCAGTGACTTCCTTCCAAGAACTCTCAACCCTGAACCCTAATATAGTGGCCTAAATATTTTCCAATGCTGTTTTGTGGGTTTCCTGATTACATTTATGGTATAAGGCATGCCTAAACCTCAATTATATTAGGCTCATAAACCCCCTAAACTCCCAAACCCTAAACCCTTGAATCTTAAACCCCTAGACCCCTAACCCTCAACCATCAACCCGGCAGTTGCTTGAATCGAGTGCCGCTGGACCCCTGTCCCCCCAAGCAGTGCGATTTTAAGATCCCTGCGATCCAGATGATAGATCCTGACCTGACGCACTCACCTACACCTGATAAAGGGTCTGCATGTTGCAATACTAGACCCCTTTACACTCCTTATGCCTACATGGTTATAGCATTGTACCGTACTCAGATTCCCAAACTCTGCGCATGCAGTCTGCATATCAGAACCCCGAAACTGCCAGCCACATGCTGGCTGAACCTCTGCCATATTAATATGGGTATGTAGATGTCAAAATTAGGGTGCCTTTTTGGGGTACCCTAATTAGACATTAGGTGCCGTATCATAATAAGTACCCTAAACCCTAAACCCTAGAACCCTACACCCTAAACCCTAATATTGACAACCACCCATATCTTGTCTGGATAACAAGGTACCGCATACGGCAAGTCGAGGACGCTGCTCCGGGCTTCGCGGGATGAAAGCCCCCATACCCTACTATAGGGTTTAGGGTTAAGGGGATCAAAATAGCCCCAAAGCCAAACTAGCCCCAAAGCCTTATATAGTATGGTCTTTGGGCCCAAAAGCCTTAATATATGAGTCCTTAGATCCCTAGGGATAGACCTTGAATCCCAGGGCCTCTGTAGCTGTGGGATTATGATGTAGAGTCGATCTGGTAGTGTCTAGACTCCTTCACTGTAGGATTTGATTAGGGTGAAAAGCCACAGCCAAAACAAGATTTGTCTTGCTTGTCGTTAGGTGTTGCGTAAGATGAAAAATATGGGGGGTCGAGCGACACACCTGCTTTTGGGCGTATATTGAGTTGAGGTTATGGAGGTGCTTCAATATGCGTGCTCATGTAACTTGTCAAGGGCATGCCTACGGCTTGACTAGATGATAAGATTTATTCCGAACAATCAAAACTTCATGCTTGATGCGCCCCGCTGCTACGAGGACCTGGATGTCATCAAGGGCAACTGGGACCTCAACCAGCAACGCGGCTAACAGCAGCCTTTTCAATCTTACGCAACCTGGGACTTGGCTGGAAGCCTTTCCCAAAGGGTCCTAGGTGCTGTTATGGGGGATACTTCCCGAATCAATGATAGTAACTCCTAGCAGAGACACCCTACATTCTACTAAAAAAGTACTTAGGGCCCTTTGGGTTTGTGCTTCAGGAAACCCTAAACCCTAAACTCCAAACCCTGGAAGCTCCACTCCGTATGAACGTGCAAAGAGTCCAGTTTTCCAAAGGTAGAAGGAGGGACCCTTAATAAGGACCCCTAGGTATATACCCTTAATCTACCCATTATATAGCCCATTAAAGGGTAGGGGTCCTTACTAAGGGTCCCTCCTTTTCCCCTGTGAAGCTTGGAAGCTCGACGCTCCACTTAGAATCCTGAGGTTTAGGGTTTCGGGTTTCGGTTGCAAGGAGAACCTCCATCCTAAAGCCTTCAAGCTATAATCAGCTATAACCCTGAGGTCCAGAAGGGACTCGTCAAAAAAAGGTGCCAATTCCGACATGAGATTCAACGGATCTGAGCAGCTTAGGGAGGTCAGCATGTAGTCTTGCAGATGTGGAAGTCCTCATATCCACCATCGGTTTCAGGGTCTGGTGTATTTATTAAATACTTGAGATGCTTGATGCCTGCCTAGAGCAGAACTCTCCTATTGGGTCCTGGAACGTAAAATTCATGCTACCTTCATATTTGAAGGGACGACAATGGAATGACGAGTGCTGGTGGTGGTAGTCGTACTAACAGCCGCCGACGACTACTACCATGCCCTTCGCCACCGCTCCACTCCACTCCACCACCATCGTCACCACAATGATGATCGATGGTTTTGTTCAATACGTGTATGTGTATATGTATATACATATATATATATATATATATATATGTATATTCATTCGTTATATACACACACATCATTGGACATGTATATGTATTCTTGCCCAAATGGAACACCTCTGCCCTCATCGACCTTTCCTGCCAACGCGTAGGCTCTCCACAATTCCAAATATAAGATGAAATTCGAGTTGAGGGTTTAGTGTTTCTTATGCCGTTAGTCCAAATACCTAATTATCAAAAACTCTCCAAACTGTAACCTACATAACACTATCCTAACACCCAGTACCTAATTATTGGGTCCTTTGGACCCTTAGGGTTAGTGTTCGATTTCGAAGTTCGAACAGTCCACTCCGGATCCCCCACGGTAAACCCAGCAATAGATCCCTCCGCCCGAAACAGCAAAACGCGCAGCTGCAAATACCAAAGGAGCCTGGTGGCACAGTCATCCCGGCCACAGTCTTGTCAGAAAGAAGTTATGTTTTGGAGAAGTCGTAGAAGCCTCGAACTACCTAGTGTGAGCAGTGACTCCGTTTGGTTGCGAGTGTCAGTGGGCCAGGTGAGAAGTGCGTTTATGGATCAGTTCATGTTTTGTAAGTTTGGGGACACCGCGGCTCCCCATCAACATGGAAGTCCGTCTTCAGATGGAGCCCCACGCATAGTGTTTTTGTTGGAGTCAGTGCTGAGAACGCGATCCCATTCCAAAGCCTGTCTCGAAGTCCAGCCTGGCTAATATAATGGCCTTAAAAATGACCTCTCATAGTTTTTGTTTTCATTGTTTTGGGGGGTCCTTCTATAACGCAAAGGCTCATTCTAGTTATCAGGGCCCCTATATTAGGCAACAGCCTAACTACATGGACTACGACACGCGGGAAGTTCGTCAAAAACATCACTAACGAACAGTTTAAAATCTATGCAAATAAGCCTCAAGCCGAATCACCCTAAGCCTTAACCCTAACCCCCAAGCCTCAAGGCCCATTGTCCTGAACTCACAACTTCGGCAAGCTCAAGTCCTGAATCTTACCCGTGACTCCCCTACGTTCCACATTCCGAAGCTGTAAGGCTTTGGTTTTTAGGTGCAGCCCGGAATCGAAATAACCGACTTCCCGAAGCTTGTAAAAAACGGACACGAGCACAAGAGCTTTACAAAGATGGGGGATTTTTGTGAGATATGCAGCAATGCAGTCCTACTTACAGTGAAGCGCGCAAGTCCTCCCCGCCTTGCCAGGTGTCTGACGTGCCACGGCTGCTGCTGCTTAGTCCAGCTTCGTGGCCAACACTAAGCCCTAAACCCTAGACCCTAAACTAAAAGAGGTTCCAAGTGTGATCAGGCTCCAGGACGCTCGGCTTAGATTCTTCCGTAAGGCTCCATGTACCCATATAGTAGATACAGAGGCCTTAAAGTACCTAAATAGGGACTCCTTTAAGGCCTAAGTATCTACTATAAAGGTACATGGAGCCTTAGGGCTTGGACAAGGGGGCCATTTTAGCTTGACGATTACAGCGCGGAAGAGTCCTCGAGGTAACAGTGCCAGGCCCTGAACCCCTAAACTCCGAAAGCCAACACCTACGGGTGCTTCGAAATATTTTTAATTTTTTTGGCTATTATATATAATCCCTAAGAAACAGCTAAAACTGTCATTTTTGCTAGGGTTCTAAGTTCAGTATAGAACACGAAACCCCTACAAAAACCCTCAACCTTCATCCCTTGCTCTGGACGCTTGGAGGGAGGGATGTATTCTTCGGGGGCTGTGGAGCATGGGATTCACTTCATTCGACAGTACTGCACCCAGTAACCTACATACTTGTAGTATGTTTTGGGGGTTATGGTTTATGCTGCCTATAAACCCTAAACCGTAAACCCTAAACCCAACAGCAACTTGCAGGATACTACACGGATGACAGGGCTCCGAGGGCGAAGTTGAACCGAAATCTCTCAGTAAAAGCGTAACCTCGTAGCAGAGTAGGTAACCTTTAACTTTTTTGGGTAGTATAGTCCCTATTTAATCCCTATTTAAACGAAAAGGTTAACCTTTAGTTCCCCATGATACCCGACAAGTAGGGCAAGAAGTGTTTTGAGCCAGGGGTTTAAGTTTAGAGTTAATACTTTACTTAGCGGTACTGAGAAATTATTTTAGTTTTTGGTTATTATAATCCCTAAGAAGCAGCTAAAATTATATTTTTTGCTAGGGTTCTAAGTTCAGTATAGTTTAGAGAGGAGCCTTGGGAAAGAAATTGGCTCAGATGTCTGAGCTGGGACAGCAGTGCGGACTTCAGTTTGCGAGAGACGGCTACTTGTGGCCCTACACCCCATGGGGATCCAGTTTAAGGGTTTAGGGTTGAAGGGCTTAGGTTTTAAGGGTTCAGGGTTTAGAGTTTAAGGATTTAGGCTACAAGGGTTTGGAGGTCTAGGGTCCAAAAACTGGTGTAAGGATAGCTTTATAATTCAGGGGTCATAACCTACTACTTTGAAGGTTTTGCCCTAGCCTAAACCAGTCGTAGTAAATAGCTTCAGTTGATCCTGGAGCCACGAATCTTTCCAACCCAGAACCTACTATAGGCGTCTAAATAATTACCAATACTATTTTGGGGCTCCTTAATTATATTTATAGTAACATGGGCCCCAAAAACTCCTATTCTAACAATTAAGGCCTTCAGACCCCTTTAAAGGACCCCTTCCGGAACCCTAGTCTAATGGTTAAGGCCCCTATATTACTGCTTCCGTCCTGGCTCTGCCAGGTTCTTCGTAGTCAACGCCGGCTGCATCCGAAGGCCTCGGGTGCGTCCGACTGTGTACTATGGGGGCCTGAATAATTACCTAAGGGTTCCTTTAAAGGGGTCTACAACGTTTATAAGGGCGACTACAGGGGTTTAGTATAGGGGCCTTAATAATTGCCTATAATACTGTCGGGGTTTCTTATTATAATAACTCTAGTGTAATGGGCACCAGAAGCCTAGGCCTACTATTCTAATCATTAAGGCCCCTATAGTGAATTTTGCCCCTGAGCTTTCAAGAAAGGGTTCGCTGGTTCGTTTTTCTTCCAACCATATGGTGTACATAACTGCACAGCACCGATGTAAAAGAGCACTGGACTAGATAGCTATGTTGTAGCTGAGGGTGTGATTCTACTATGAGCTTTACGCGGAGATTGCGTTCCAGATTCCCCTGAGGCTCCGCGGGTTGCAGTCTCATGGGTGGTGCTGCGCTGGTGCACCTCTTGGCCGTTACAAGACGTCATGAAATCCAGGATGCCCAGTAGTGCCCTTATTCCCGTTTAGTAGTCCTAGGTTCCTTATACAGCTACCCAATACCAAAAACGGAGGCTTTTTTATTCCTGGGGTGCTGGGCATCCTAGAAATGCAAGCCTTGAAACCCGAGGCCAGGTCCCATTCTGAGCCTTAGGGTCTCTAAGTACACCAGAGCTAAAGCTTGAACATGCAGCTCCTACTAAAGAAGCCTTAACTACCAACATTATTCCTTAGGTCCTTATCATATATGTATATATATATGTACTATAAAGGAACCCAAAACCCTCTTAAAATTCTAATAAGGCAACTACATTACACAGTTTGGGGGGGCCCTTTTGTCTTCTCAGGAGTATCCGTCTACACTAGTAGCCCAAAAGTTGGAAACCCAAGAGCCTCAATCCTTACGAGTAATGTATAAGGAATCCCAGCAAGATTTGGCCTTAATCCGGTTTCCAACTTTATGGGGTTTACTGTAGGATATAGGGGCCTAGTACTATTTTGGGGGGGTTCCTTATCATATTAGGGTTATAGTAGAACGGGCCCCAGAACCTGAAAACCCAAAGAGCCTTTCATCCAAAAGCCCCGGCCCTGGAGCTGCAGGGGGCGGCATCAAAACGGTCAGTACATGTTCTTCGGCCAGGGCGTTCATGTCGGAAGCACAGTTTAGGGGTTTTCGGGCTTTCGGGTTGAGGGAGAGAGGGATTTCGGGTTTAGGAAGTTTAGGGTTTTAAGGTTTAGGGTTTTAGGGCTTCAGGGTTTAAGGGTTTCGGGTTTTAGGGGTTAGGGTTTAGGGTCGCATCGAGCCCAAGCAGTTTCAGAATCGTAAGCTCAGTTCGGGCAAGTTACAGCAGGAGCCGGAGAGTTGGAATATAATCATCCTGCTGCCCTTACCGTAGAGTATAGAGGAGCCCAGCACTCACCATCCTAGGGTTTAGGGTTTAGGGTTTAGGGTTTAAGGGTTTAAGGGTTCCAACTTTCCAGGTTTCATTTTCGGAAACTTTCGGGACATAGAGGGCGCCGGTTGTCGTTCAGGCTCGCCTTGGCCCTTTCAGGGTCCCACGGTAGCTGATATACATCCTGCATTACCCATAATAAGGAATATACCAGAAATCCCACAGTTTTGGGTCCCCTTAAGGTCATGCAGGATATATATATATATATATATCATCATCAACAGGATCGATCTTTTTGGGCAGCCGGGTTGCCTCCCGAAGCTGCCTCAAGAGGAGAATCGTCACAGCTGTGGATAAGAACTCTGTTGGAGGGTCCCGGCCCGAAGTCACTGCTCAGGACAAAGTATCCCGTGAAAGGTCCCTACTAAGTACAATTATATAGTATAGTGTATCCCGTAACCCTATATTGAGTAATTTTACCAAGTCCCTTTTTACCTGAACCGTACAATAATCATTCTATAACCTTTGAAGAGCCCTTTTTGGCCAGAACCCTTTCAATACTGATGGTCCCTGGTCTTGCTCCTATAGACCCTGGATCCCTAAAGCCCCCAACCCTGAGCCAACCGTAAACCCCTAACTAAACCCCTAAATCCCAAGCCCCAAACCCCCAAACCCCCAGACTAAAACCCCTAACCAAACCCTCCAAGCCCCGAAACCTTTGCTTAACCTCCAGCTAAACCCCTAACCCTCAAACGTGCAATTAAACCCCTCAACCCTAAACCCCGAAATCCCTTTAGGGATTCGTTTACCCCTAAACCCTAGACCCTAAACCGTTTATATACCCCTAAACCGAGGTCTACCCTTCGCCTTACATCACTGCCGGAGGCTCTGTTGCAGGTTCCGAGCTTCCCGAGCCACGGTTTCCCAGACCCCCGGGAGGATCCAAAAGTAGATCACTTATTGATTCCTGTAAAGTACCCTTAGTAGCATAGGCCCCAAATTAGGGGATCTCGTTTCTAGATCCTCTCGGGGGTCTGGGTTGGTTTTTTAGGGTTCAGGGTTTGGGATTCAAGGGCTCGGCATTTCAGGTTCACTTAAGGGTGTCGGCGGGGTTTTCAGGTTTAGTTTAGGCATTTAGGGTGTCGGGGTGTAGGATTTAGTTCCGTGTTGCAGGGTTCAGGGGAACTACGGTGTGGGATGTTGCAGAGTTTGCGGTTCAGAAGCCGGGCTCTACGCTTTCGGTGTTAGAGTTTCGGTCTATGATTGAGGACATGGAGGATCGTCTACGGAGGCTATAACGACTATAACCCTAGGGATCAAAATAGCCCAAAAGCCTTATATAGTATGGTCTTTGGGCCCGAAAGCCTTAATATATGAGTCCTTAGATCCCTAGGGTAAGTTGAACAACTCTACAAACGATCAGCAGCTACCTCGATATGGGAGTTTCCGAAAATTTGGGGTACCTTACTTTGGGGTCCTTATAATAGGGATCCTACTTTTTAGGGTTCTATATTAGGGTCCCCTATTTTCGGAACCCTAAACCCTTTATGGAACCCTTATAGATCCCTTTAAGGAGCCCTTTAAAGGAACCCTAGGGTCCCCTACTTTCGGAGACTCCCATACCGTCGGTTGCATGGAATGGCGGTCAACCCTCTTCTCTCTGCCTCCTGTGTTGCAGCCTCCGCATTACCCCATAGAGGGAACTCCAGAAAGTTGGAATATGGTTTCAGGGTAGGATACCTCATAATTTACCATAAAGGGTTTAGGATAATCATATTCCAACTTTCTGGCTTCTACTGTATTTCCCCCCCAACCCCATTAAACCCTAAAGTTTAAAGCCCTATGCTAAGCCTACAAGGCATTCCGACTAACCAACAGGGCCGAAGGAAAAGAGGCTTCAGAAAAGAGAAAGCCCTATACTATACGTACTATGCTATGCTATGCTTTGCTATACCATACCATACCATAAGCCCCAATCTCCGGAACCCCTCATCGTCTGAGGTTGACCGGACTGATGTCCGACTGACAGAGGGTGCGATCATCCATGGGACGAAGGCATTTGGGAGTTTTCGAAACTTGGGGGGTGCCTTATTTTGGGGGTCCTTGTAATAAGGATCCTACTATTTAGGGTACCATCTTCGGGTCCCTTATTTTCGAAAACTCCCCTTTCGAGTCCTGGGTGTCCGGCTGTGAACGGTGGAGCTTCTGAGGCTGAAAGGTTCTACGTTTTCGGTGGCTTAGGATTTAAAGGGCTGGTGGGACCTTGCACAGAGCATGCAGTTCATTTTAGGAAGCCTTTTAAAGGCACATTTTCCCATAGCGTCCCAATTGCAGTCAGAAAGTTTGCGCCTGTGAAAACGGAGTGCGCACGGAACGTAGCTAGCGAGAGCCCGCGCCTCAAGGGTCCATACACCATGTCACACCATGTCATGTACCCTATGGGTCCAAAGGACCCAATAATCAGGGACCTGGGTTTAGGATAGTAGTTATGTAAAGTCGGAAAGTTATGTAAGTGATGTAGATTTGTATTTGCGAGAGTATATGATTAGGCACTTGGACACTTGGGGTAGTACAAACGTTGGCCCAGGAGTCATGTCCAAGGAATCTTTCAAACCAAGGACCAAAGTAATTGGTTGCTCGATTAATCAGTTGTTTAAGACATTTAAGTAATTGCATAAACAAGTGGCGAATTAAGTATGTTTTGTGCATGCATCCCTTGAAGCACCATAGTAGGCCCTGTGAAGCCGTGAAAGTGAACGCAAACGGAGGCTATCGTGACCGTGACGCAGGGCTTTGTAGGGCTGGTCTTGGACTCAGCTCACGTTCAGACTTTTAGAGGTTCAGGGGCGGGTTAGTGTTTAGGATTTTGGAGGTTTCGAGAAGTACTTACTTTGCGGTCTAATGTCTTTGAATACTGCTGCCTACTTTGGGCTATTTGGAGTCTTAGGGTATTGCAGGGCACTTCATGTCTGAAGCGAGAGCATGATCTTGAGCCTTGAAGTCGAATAATGCTCCTTACCCAGACTCGTCACCGCCTCTGCACTGGAAGTCTTTGAATTGGTACTCGTTTTGATTGTTTGGAGGTACCGTCTCTGGAAAATGTGTGGGAAGTTGGGCTAGGCAGCACCAATAGTACTCTCTTGTGACAGCGAATGCTGTCGAAAGCTAGTGCTGCGGTGCTCGTGGGATGTCGAAGCGTGACTTACCACGTGCTGTGCAGTGCTGAGTTCCATTGAGAGTTTTTCTATACTAAGAAGCCAAGCATGAACCCCCTATAGCGATCGATAAGAGCTCCGCGAATCCCCGATAAGGATCCTACAATGCTTTGAGAACCTGAAACCGTCATCGAATCCTATGATTAAAGAGCTTAAGGTAGTATAGGAGCGAATTGAGTCCAGTGGCCCCGGCGAATGGCGCAAATCTGTGTTGCTGATGCATCATGCCTGCATACGGTTTCAGATTGGCAAAGCGATATATGAGTCTCAAGAACACGCCTTTGCTACCGACAGTCTTCATAGAGGAATCCACAATGTAAGGTTGAGGGATTATAGGAGTCCCAGAAAGTACGCCAACCTAAACCCAAACATTAAGATCCTATGAGCGAGGGGCCCAGCACAAGACATGAGCGACGTTGAAGATGCAGCCATAGAAGCCCGCCAAAACTCAAGCCCACTTCACATCGCAAAGCCATTCCCGGGCCTGTCCGTTATAGCTAGGATCCTACCATCTATACAGGGCCTTCGGCTTAAGTCGGGGACGCATACTTCTGGAACTTTATAGTTTTTGTTGAGCATCCTACATCCCGTTTTAGGGATTTCTCTTTTAGGGCCCAAATGCTCGGGGACATGTTGGGTCCCCAGGTGTCGCTTTGGAGCTCCCGTCGAGGTTGATTTTGTGCTGAGGCCATGGACAGAGGGCAGCCGGTACTTCTGCCGCCAGGCTCTGCGCTTGGATACAGATCCGGGCCTGGGCCTGGACCCAGAGAGCCCAAGGGGCCCCTTAATTAAGGAATACCTAGGGTTCCTTAAAGGGCTCCTTAAAGGGATCTATAGGGGTTCTATAAGGGTATTAAGGAACATGGCTTAAAATATATAGGGCTTCATATTATGATTTAAGCTATATTCCTTAGTTAGGGGGAATTGGGCTCTCTGGGGAGAAGCCCTGCCTAGAGTAACCAGGGTAAACATGTAAATTGAGCATTTAAATCAAGGACAAGCGCTGATATCTCCCCTTTGTTTAAAGGTACACTGTGACTCTTACAACAACGTACTCCAAAAACTCTTTTCAATTCATCAAGGCCCCCGTGTAAGCCCGAGCACGCCAGCAGGTGGAGCTGAGGCCTGTAGGCAGAACCCCTGCAGCCCTGAGAAAATGTCCCGTGAAAGTCTCTAGGCTTCTGGGGACCTTGCTATTGGTTCCTTAAGGGGTCTAGGGCTGTAAGTGTAAGGTCGTTGGAAGCATTGGGATTGCCCTCCTGACCACCTGCACTTTCCCAAAACGGAAGCAGTGCTGCAAGGCCAGTGCAATAGATGGTAAGAAAGCCTCTAAGTAGACTCGTGAATGCTGACCTTCTAGACACACACACACACACAGAGGCGCAGGAGAGACATGATGGGTAGCTTGCTAGAAACAGGCATGCGGTACTTGAAGCTGGGCTTTGCTCCGTGCCGCTACTACAGTAACAGCCAACAGGCTTGCACCAGTGGAATTCGCCGACGATGGAGTTGATGCCTCAGCTGCTACTGGTAGGTTAGTAAGTAAAACAGCAACTAGTGGCACATTGGCTCGATCACGCGCAACAAAAACGACCTGCCTGTCCAGCGAAGATTGACCTTTCATGGGCTCCTTCGTCAGCATGGTTTGCTAGTGCCTTCTTGCCTAGCAGACAGGCAGGACGAACGAGCGTGAGCACGCCACAGCTAGCTGCTCGCAAGCCTAAAGCCTTCAACTCCCCAATCCAGAAGTCCTAAGCGGCCAAACACCTATATCGATCCTAGTGCCCCGAAACTTGCAGCCCAGCCGCCAATGGAAACCGAATCCAGGACACCCATGGGACTAAACACCTGCCCTGAAAGGAGTTTGGATTTTGAGTTAAAGTTGTTCACCCAAAAGCGCTCTCTCTTCAGGCTTTTATCTTGGATTCGTGCAAGGTCCCATACATTGGAATGGTGGTACCCCAGAAAATGAGCTCTGGGCCACCCCATACCGTAAACCCCAAATCCTAAATCCTAAACTTCAAAAAAACCCTAAACCCTAAGCCCCAAAACCCTGAACTCAAGCCGAAGATTCAACTGCGTCTGAGGTTCGAGCGCCTTATCGACCTCGCCTCCAGCGTCATCTGTCTAGGGCGCTTTGGAAGCCAAGAGTGTTACAGTTAAGGTTTTTAGGTTCTAGGGTTTTAGGCTTTAGGGTACAGAGGTTTAGAGGCTTGGGATTAAGCCATGAATCTGTCTTGGGCTTCAGGGACGAGTATGTAGGATCCGAGCTTCACGTTTTCAGACGTGAGAATGTTTTGGGTTTCAGGGTCAGGGCTCCAGTCTTAGGGTTCAGGGTCAGTGTGTGTGTGTGTGTGTGTGGGGATTCTGGAAGAGCATTCTCTTTAAAGTACTTGTAGTTGTTGGTTAGTATAGTCGGGCTCCTTTAGTATTCCGAATCTTACAGTAGTGTCAAGTGAGTCAAGCGTGCGATAGAACGCCTTTGAGCAACTAGGCCCCACAGAATCAGTTTGAAATGGTTGCATGCATGCCTGCCTGCCTGCCTGCCTGCCATGCTTGCATGCATGCACACGTACAGACACGTACGCAGCAGATGCACTCTCTTACGCTTGTCATCGTGGGCATACACATCTATCCTATGTGTGCTTTCGTTTATAGTGCTAGTGGTGCATCTATGTACACACATAACCACACACGCACATACACGTACATACACCTGCGGGCAGGTTTAAGAGGCTGCAGTCACGTTCTGGCCTCGCAGATAATTCCGACGTCAGTCTCGGGTTCTCCCTAAGACCCGAAGCCGAGAAACATTCGGTTCGTGAATGTAGGCTGGGCTTGGGTTTGGTGGATGGTTCAGGGTTTTTGAGCCGGATCCGTTGTGGATGGGTGCAAGAAGTATCAGCAGTGTTCTCTGTGTTCGGAACAACCGTCGAGAGACATCAACTTGGCGAAGCTATCGCAACAGTACTGGGGAACCGAGATGCCTTGAGGCCATACACGCTGATTACTGTGGATGAGGCTGGTAATCTTTTCCATCCTCATATTATGGATGCCAGCATTCTGCCCCAAGCCCGGTTCTGAATTGACCTGAGACCCAAACCACCTGAGCCCCAAACCTCGAAATTTCTCCGTAGAGGACAAGTCATGCATGATCTGAGGTGGACTGCAGTTATGAACCCCGCACCCAACTTTTGTAGACATCTTAGTTCGTCCCGTTAAACTTTAGAGCCTTCGGAAGAGACCTGGTGGTGCAGCGTTGAGGTTTCTTGGCTTATCCCTCGAGGCCCTAAACCCTAAACCGTGCCATTTGCATGCTTGGCCCCTTCCTAGCGTGCTTTGCAAGAGCCTGGCGCGATTGAATAGATGCGTGTTGAAGGTCGCAGTCCCAAGAGGATCCGTATACATACATACATACATATATATATATATATATACACACTGCGATAATGGAATTAGGTCCCGAAAACCATCACAGGGATGGCTTTTGGGACCTACTTCCATAATGGTATTATACCTGGACCCTGAGGGGTCACTATAGAATAGCCATCAAGTACCCACAGGCCCATAGAATCTACACATGGAGCTCAACAAACAACGTCCAGAGTGACCTCGAGGCACAAGAACAAGAATGCACAAAATTCGAATCCGTCGAACTCCTGCGATAATCCCCTCTTCAAGCACCCCCCCAAAACCCGAAACGCCGTAAGCCCTAGACTCTTCTATAGTTGCCCTAAGCCCTGAACCCTGTAAGACCAAACCTGGACCATAAGAATTCTCCAAGGAGCCCTTTGCAGAACTTGTAAGTAAACCCTTATACAACACTGTGAAATCTGTGAAAGAGTTCCCTGTCGGCAGGGCTACGCTGCCGTGACCCAAGATAATGGTGAGCAGAAAATCCTGGAAGGAGGTCCGGTTTAGGATTCAGGTTTCAGGATTTAGGGTTAGGGTTGAGGGCAGGCTAGTTTCGCGTTAATTGCAAACGCTGTGTTTAGTACTATAGGTACGATGGTGGTTGCTGACATGGTTGCACTGTTACTGTTAACTGTCTTGGTGTCACTGAGTACTATGCATATGACTGTCTCCGTGGCATCACTGTTCGTACTGTTGCTGTCACTTTCATGCTTTTCATTAGGATTAGCAATGTCGTTGTTGCTGCTGTTGCTCCCAACATCAAGATTGACAGCGCTGCTGTTTTTGGTGCAACTGCTGTTACATTGTGTTTTGTATGCATACACACAAGAATACAATGCAATACACTGCTCGGCAGTGCAGTGCAATCCAATGCCATGAATTCGACACAGCCTAAACTTATCCATTACTCTGCATGGCATCATCGTATGACATCACAAAAGTACGTATTTGCCTACATTCATGCGTACATTGCATGCAAGCGATACATGAACACCTCCGTGCATAGAATGTACGTACAGACGTCCATGCAGACAGACATACAGACAGACAGGCTTCTAGCCAGCCAGACAGACAGACATTTGCATGTACTACGTACATACTCATGCACATACAGCATACAAGTGCACATACGTGTTACATAGCAGGATACGAATGTACATGTTGGCATACAACAAGTGCACGACATATACATGTAATTGGCTGCATGCAGTACATGTACGTATACATTTGCTTGCATTTACGCACGCCTTTGCATTCGTATTCACATGTATGCTTACTACATGCATATATGTACATGCATACTAGCATTCATACATGCATGCATGCATGCATACACACACATACATACATACATACATACATGCATACTTGCTTACGTACATACATACATAAGCGTGTGCAATCACGTGTTGAGTACCGAGATGTACATCTATCCGAAGACGCACGAGCGCATCTATACACACATGTGGCTACAACCGAACAGCAAGCAAGCCGGCAGACTTTCTTGAGCACCGGACTGGGGTTGAAAGTGACGGCTTTTTGTGGTAGGATATGAGCGCTGGTGCTGTTTGCCAGGCTTTACTTTTTTGATGTTGGTCGCTTGGCCTGGGGTTGGGCCTTATGAAAATCCCGGTGAGATTTTTAAGTGAGCCTGTTCTCCAAGCCTGAAAGTGTAGAGGAGTTTAGTACCGCTACTACGATTGCCATTCTTATTATGATCAGCGCTATTGTGGTTTTTGTTGTTATTGTGTTCGTGAAAGATTCACATCGCCAGGCCGTGCCTACATGCTGACCCACAGAAATTGGAAGGCGGGGAGACTCGTGCTGTAGACTGGGTGATCGTGTATTCTTGACTTTATCATCCAGATGGTGGGTTTAAGAGCCGTTCCACATTCTACATGTCGTGTATACCTGGAGGCATGAACAACTGAAGCTTGGAGTCGCAGAGACGGATGTGCAGAACCCTAAGCCAGTTACGGCTCCCAGCTGCCGCGATCAGTTCGAGAAGTTTATGACGAAGAAGCTGCAGACCAACGATGTGGGTCCGATTCAGGACCGCGCGCTTAGGGGCTTCAGGGTATGTTCAGGGTATGGACTAGAAGCCTCAGGGTTAAGGGTTCAGGGTTTGTGGTTGTAGGTTTTGGCTGTGAGGATGGGGTTTGTGAGGGCTGCAGTTGACAGCTGCATCATTAGGATTTAGCCTATGCTTAAGTCTAAGTGGCAGGCTGTCACTACAATGCTGGCGGAATGAGGGCCCGTTTGCAGATGGTCGTAGCCACTACGGTGCCATGATGATCAGACTGCATTGGCGAGGGAGTTCAAGGGCAGCCTTCTTGCATGGTTGAACCCCACACCCTGAACCCGGTTGATAATGCTAACCAAATCTTGCAGCTCCTCCGAGTCGCCCTCACACATTCAAGGTCTTTTTGGTAAGAAAGCAGTAATGCAAGCATCCAAAAACTTACTTTACTAATTTGTGTCTGCTTAATATAGCTGAAATATAATATACCCCGAAACCCTATCCCAATTATTAAGGCCCCTATATTTGTCAGTAAATGCGTGCTTCGATCCAAGTCACAAAGCCCTATGACGTCCCAAACCCGGCCGCGATCAATAAGTAAAGTTTTATTTCTGTGGAATATAACCCCATAAACTTCCCCCAATCCCTAAAGATATGTACATGTGTAGGTGTGTGTGCGTATGTCCTATCTACACATATATACATATATATATATATATATACATACATGTTCATATGTATATATGTATCTATCTGTTCATTCATCTACCCAACAATCTATCCACCTATCCATCTATCCATCTACCCATCGATCTTTCTACCTATCTATCTAAGACTATCTATATGTTTTGTATGAACTGTATGTGTGTATACATACATATATATATATATGTACGCATGTGTATATATGTATACATACACAGCATCTTATCTATGACACTGATTTCAGATTCCTGGAGGTCACCACCGGCGACAATGTGCCCCTGGAGGCGACTGCGACGGTGAACTGGGTGATCGAGGCGTCTCCGTGGGGAGAAGGGTTTCATCGGGTTTAGGGTTTAGGGGTGTAGGGGTTTAGGGTTTCGGAGGTTTCGCATTAGGGGTGTGCGGTTTAGGCTTTAGGGTTTGGGGTCTAGAGTTTGGTTGTGAGGCGGGCATGGGGTTTAGTTTCCGTTTTAGAGCGAGTATGGGATTTAAGGGGTAGGTTTAGTTTTTAGGGCTTCGAGTTTAGGGTTTGGGATGCGTCTGCTGTTGTGGGCTCTTAGCATTAGAGGGTCATTGCGTTAAGGATATTTTGGGCTTGGTTTTTGAATGAGAGTATGTACGGCTGCGGCATGACGGGCATATCGAGGACTCGCTCATGATGATAAGGAGTAGCAGGATGAGGTTGGCACCGAACAAGCCCATCACAATGGCCACAGCCATTGCGATGAAAGAAACGACAGGGAACAGGAGGATAAGAAAGAGGATAACGTGATGGGATGGCGATGCTACACATGCGATGCTGATGATGATGCTAACGCTTCTGACGATGTTGGTGTATATTGCTGCCAAAACAAAGACACTGAAGCTGATGAAGACGAAGATGATGACTGTTGATTTTCACAGCGACGAAAAGTCAGCAATTCCAAGGGGGACGGTGGTTCAATAGTGATGATGGTAGACAGTGCGAGGATGCATTTTAGCAGGGCCGGCCATTTGTACGATGTATCGTCCATACCGTTATTGAACCCTAAGCCCTTATAAACCCTCGACGCTAAAACCCCAACATTTTTGGTTTTGTAAACCCGAGAGCTTGAAAACCTCGAGGTTCGGAGCCCAGCAGCACACATGAAACCTGAACCCCAATTTGTTTTTGTGTTTTAGTTGTTTTCCACCGGAGCCCAACACTTTCTTTCAAACAGGACGCCCGGCTTGCCGCGCGCATGGCGGCGAACACCATGTCGGTCCGCTCCCGTAGCCAAGTATTTCGCGAGTTCGCTTTGAGCTTTGGTGGTAGTTAAGGTTGAGTACGGCTGAGTCTTCATCAAACCGGAGGGCTTCACAAGAGGGGGTTGGACAAAAATGACAGCCCACGCAGTGGGATTCAGTGGTGGGAATCTGACAATCAGTTTTCAACCTTCTTGGTGTTGGAGTTGCCTAGACCCCTGATATGTTTTCACGTGTTTGGATTATGGTTAATTGTCCTTCCCTAAGAAAGTTTTTGGCAAGCCCGAAATGGACTGCTTTTGAGGGTAGAGTCAACACACCCTGACGCATGAACCCCAAACCCGTTCAAAACCCATAAACTGTGCCATCCTCGAGGAACGACTTAGTGTACCCGTGTATTTCCTTGATATGTACATAGATATATAGATGGGTAGATAGATCAATAGATAGATAGGTGGGTAGGTAGGTAGATGGGTAGTAGATGAAACGGTAGATAGGTGGATTGATCGGCAGATTGATGAGTAGATAGATCGTTATGCTTACATGCAAATGCATATGCATGTAAGTGAGTAAGTAAGTAAACAAGTATTTACGCCAGTAAGTGAGTAGGTGAGTGAGTGAGTGAGTGAGTAAGTAAAAAAGTCGAACCGAAAATGTGTGTGTGTGTGTGTGTGTGTGTATGTATGTACGTGTGTGTCTCTCTGTGTGTGTCTTTAATATGTGTATACGTACATACAGACAGGCAGGCAGGCAGACAGACAGTTCCTTTGATACACACACATGTGTACGCATTATCACATGTATCTGTGTGTTTTGCTTTCAGACCCTCGTGTTGGTTGTATTCAGTGTTTCTTAACTCAGGATGAGCACTATGCCGCGACTGTGCCCTATTTACACTAGCAGAAATTACAGGGCGCTCGAGGTACTCAAGTGTGTTTAACATCAGTTCTTACTTAGTCTCAATGTTTTGAACCACACAACAGTATAGTACGCGTATGTCTTGCATTCTTCCAAAATGCGTTGATTGCGGTCGGGACCAAGCTCGGCAGTTCACCATGCTTTTCGACCTTTGCAGTTGCAGTGGAGTGCAGGGGTTAATCGCCAGTGCTGCTGGTGTGGTGGGAATATCGCTCGGATTTCATCGGAGCTTAGGTGCACCAGACTTATGAAACCTACTTGCGATGCCACAAATCCGAAACGCCGAAGCCGAAACCCGAAGCCGAGCCTCTTCATGGGCACAGGGACCAATGACTCGTCTCCAGAATCTCGTTAGCCATTCTGAGTCGTAGCTGACCTGAGAACACGACTGCGGACCTTAAACCCCAAACACGAATTATTCGCGGTTCAGGGTTTTAGGGTTTAGGGCCCTAAACCAACCCTAAACCGTAAAAAACCCTAAACCGGGCCCTTGGAAAGCAACTCCAGGATGTACGATCCAAGAACCAGTCTCAAATGGCGGCCGGGGAGTCCGCCTGGCTGCAGAATGTGCGTTGCTTTTCCCAAAGGGTCCTGGGTACTGTTATGGGGGATACTTCCCTAAATCATCATAGTACTGTAATTCCTGATATAGACACCCTACATTCTACTATATCGGTACTTTGGACCCTTTGGGTTTGCTGAACACAATCCAAGCAACGGTACAAGTAGACAAACGACCGCTATCACCTCTGCCATGCCCCGCTCCCAAGCACCAGCACTACCACACCGGCAACAACGACAAGAAAGGGCCGCTGCCGCTGCCCCTGTTCCTCTCCACTACTACTACTGCTGCTGCTGCTGCTGCTCCTGCTCCTGCTGCTGCTTGTGCTGCAACTTCTACTACTACAGTACTTCCGTACTACTAAGACTGGTACTACCACTACTGCTTCTCCTTCTGTTTCTACAGCTGCTACAGTTGTTGGTAGTGCTACTACTTCTCCTATTTCTACTAATTCTATGGCTGCTACTCTACTACTCCTCCTCCCCCTCCTACTGCTGCTGCTAGTGCGACTGCTGCCTCTGTAGCTGTTGCTGGAAGTGTCAGGTACTATAGTGCTTGGTGTTGGCCAGTTTCAGTCCTTGGGAAGTCTAGAGAGCATGGTTTTGGCAAGGACTGCCTGTTGGGCAGAACAGGGGAGCCGAAAGGGTATGTCAAGATTCGGTGGACAACGATGCCGGTAGTTCGGGGACCCCAGTACAAGGAGTGAACAAGCAGCTCTACCCAGTCGTCATTGTTGCTAAAAAGCTGCAACTGCTGATCGTTGGGTTTGATGTGTTGATGCTGCTGATGATAATGGTGCTGATGATGATGTTAATGATGTTGATGATGATTGATCATGATGGTGATGACTGTGAGGAGAAGGCGGAGGAGGATGGGGAATTCTCCTATGACCAAAGGGCTAAGGCTGAAAAGACACCTGCAAACACAGAGAGCTCTTGAGCTTTGAGCCCTGGAGTTTTGCGGAATGACACAACTGGTCAAGCCTAGTTAGCTCCAGTCGGCGATCTCAACCTCAAGCAAACATCCAACATGCTAAGGTTCGATATCTCCAAGCTGCGGCAGGATGTTCTGCGTCAAGCCGCTTTGGCTTCAACCGTCCTCAGCCATTTAGCGCCACTCAGATCACCGAAAACGCAGATAGACCGGAAGGCCGACACCCCTAAACCCGAGACCTGCAAAGCCGAAGCAACAGTTGATAAACCCGAACCCCCCCTAATGCCCTTGCCACAGCCGTCCTAGAACTCTTAAGCCACTTCATTTCTAACACGTCATTATACCCAATAGGTTAATAAGTTTATGTGATTCGGGGTTTAAGCTATGGGGCTGGGGGCTAGAATTCAGGGTTTAGGATTCTTTTAGATCCATGGAGTCGTAGGTGGTGTGGTACGCGTCTTTGGTCGCATGTTTAGTTGGCACGTGCACACCGACATCCGGGCGAGATGGTGAACTTGGTTCCTTAATGTCCTTTGCATGGCTTCACAGGCAATATATAGGGGCCTTAATAAGAATAAGGTTCCGGGGCCCATTATGCTATAACTATAAGAAGGAACCCCCAAAACAGGACAGGTAACTATTAAGGCCCCTATAATACATGTTAGTCTCAAGCTCTAAACCCTAAAGCCGAAACCCGAAGCCAGAGGTTACTTTCTGAGCCTTAGGCGGCTAGGGTTTAGGGTGGAGAATATACGTAGATCTACGCTCAGGACCGCCGATGGCTGCTTTCCGTCCCTGTGTCTTTGTGTAAAAGGGTAGCATTTGAAGTCAAATGGCTGTGGCTATTGTATCCTGAACCCGAAACCCTAAACCTTAAACCTAGACCTAAACCCTAAGCCCTAAACCCGCGACCTAAAACTAAACCCCCTGTGGTAGACCTCGGCCCGGCGCCCAACTGTGCCAAGTCCCCAAACCTGACAGCAGGCAGTCCGGCTTAGGGTTGCTACAGCGTCTAGGGCTTAGGTTTAGGGCTTAGGGTTTAGGCGTTTAGGACGTCATTATTGTAGAGGTGTGAAAGTCTAGTAGCTCAACAGGCTTCCGTTATAGACCCAGTGTCGTTGTAGTGCAGTGTACACCCCTACGGTTGATGCTATAAACCCTGCATTACTACCCATCATAAGGAATATACCATAATTCCCGCAGTCTAGGGTCATTAAGGTAATGCAGGATTCACATCATCAACCCTAAACCCTAAACCCTATTAAACCCTAAACCCTTAAAGGAACCCTTAAAGGTAATGCAGGCTTTAAATCATCAACCGTACTGTGGCGTTTGCAGGTGACTGCCTCCCTCGCAGCCTTCATTGGCTCCGTGAGCTATTCTGCACATGGCCATGAGGCTTCCGTGCTTCCGCGCAGGGTTCGGGGTGTTCTGCTTTGTGTTTAGGTCTCAGGATGAGAAGGGTTAGGGTTTAGGGTTTAGGGGTTTAGAGTTTAGGGGTTTAGGGTTTAGGGGTTATGACAGTTAAGACCCGTAAGGTACGGTGGGTAGAATTTTTAGACCCTTATGGATTACAGAGTTTGCTTGAGAAAACTGACGAGAACTCAAGAAACAACATACGCCAGGCTCAGGACATAGGACCGGAATCCAAGTGATCTCCTCCACGTCAAAGCCCCGTCCAATGATCAAATCGAAAGCTTAGATGCCGAGTCTGCGAAACTCGGTTCAAGTTTTCGGGACCTGAGGTCGATGGCCTCAGAATCTGCAAGGCATTCCGTGTTCAGGATGACTAAGCTTGCAAGACATGATGGTATCATCCCCAGGCGGCTGCAATACATGAGTCTGAGTGAAAAGTCAGTATAATACTGTCCCGTGATTATACTTGAGTGATTAGTATGCAATATTGTCCCTTGACTACAGTACGAAGGCCCACGAAGCCTATTCTAATCATAAATCCCCCTGAATTCGACCTGTAGCCCTTGTATCCTCAATCCACAAAGCCCTAAATCCTAAACCCGAAGCCCCACACCCTAAATTTGAAACCCTAAGTCCCAGCGCATTCCAAGCAAGCCCGGCGCCGGAAGGCCATGGTGGCCCGAAATGAGCAGGAGAGGAAGAGAGAGGCTTTTCGGGTAGGGTTCAGGGCTTAGGGTTTAGGGATAACCCTGAGTAGACTACCTTTCTAGGGGCTCCTTATTACGATTTCATAAATACAGGTCCTTAAAAGGGTAGGTCATTCGAGTTTAAGGGGACGGCTGGTGGGTTTAGGCAGGGGTGTAAATGCAGAGGTTTATGTTTTAGGGCTTCAGCAGTAGACGGTTTTTTGGGGGTTTGGGCTGTGAGCCAGCTTTCCCGTTTCGATGGTCGGGGCGCACATCCCAATGTCAAAGACCGATTCCTAAACCCTGAGTGAGCAGTGGAGCCTAAACCTTGAACCTCAAAAGCTTGAACCCTATACCCTCCACTGTCGAGCCCTTAAGCCGTGTGCCCTTACTCCCTTCAACCCAAAGCCCTCAAAATCAAGCCCTAAACGGTGCAAGGAGCGCTGAAGCTCAACTAATACAGCTGATCGCATGATTTGATTAGGGCTTGGGGGTTCTTCAGGTTTTCTCGTACCATCATACAGCTGCATAACTCATATTTCAGACCTCTGTATTGCTAGTGCTATTCACAAGTTCAGAACCACCCAACCACCCGTCCGTACCGGGTCGACTTATCTGCGTATGCATGTATATGTATATTACGTCGGGCATGTGCTTCGATATATATATATATATATATATGTATGTATATGTGTATATATATATGTATATATATGTATATATATATATATATATGTATATATATATATATATATATATATATATATGTATATATATATATATGTGTACATACACACACGTGCATACTTACATATAGTACGTATGTGAGCACAACCATATATGATTATATGCACTTGTATGTGTGTATGTAATTGTTTACACATGTATATGTTCACCGTTTGCATGTAGCCAGGTAGCATATGTACACGTTGTATGCGCATGTGTATGCGTATGTGTATGCGTATGTGTGCATACGTGTGTGTTTATACATATATACATATATATATATATATATATATACATACCACAGGGTCCACAGATACTACCATTATGGAATTAGGTTTCCAAAGCCATAAAAAGGATGGTTTTTTGGGACCTAATTCCATAATGGTAGTATATGTGGACCCTTAGTGTATATATATATATATATATATACACACACATCCATAGTTTCAGGCTCACGCAGCATGAAGCTCGAATCCTTTGAAGACTGTATTTCCGAAGCCTCGGTTTTTGTAATAGGCCGAAGTTGATGAGAATCGAGGTAGGGCTTTGGAGTTAGGTTGAGGGCTTTTGGATTGGGTTTTGAGTTAAAACACCAGTGCTGAATCAAAAGAAAAGAGACCTCCTGGTCCCTGATTGCTCCGTAGCGCAAAATTCGAAGCTCGGCAGTGAAAGCTTAAAGCCTTGACTCACCGACCTCCGAACCCCAGCCAGCTTGGTTTATAAGTCTTCACCAACAAAGGCGACAGCCTTGCTGTCCCCACCCCCCCCCCCCCCTTTGCCCTGCCTCAACCCTTGAAACCACACGAAGTTCAATCCTAACCTCTGAACCCCAAGCCTCAAATCCTATAGCCCAAACCCCAAGCCCTAAACCCTATAAACCCTACCTCCTGAACCCCAAATCCTAAACCCCAAGCCCAGGCCGGCGTTGAGGTGGACAAGGAGGGTGGCCGAAGGCCGCCGCCGAATGAAATTTCTCTTGGGTTGATCAGAGATGGTCCAGCAGGAGAACAATGACCATGAGCACATGTCCTTGAACATATATATATATACATATGTTTGTGAAGAATATGGTTATGTATGTTTATGGGAATGTATATCCATGTATATGGGTATACTTGCATGCATGCATGCGTTTGTATTGGTTATATGTATGTATACAGATGTTTGTGTATCGAACCATCCATCCATCCGTCCGTTTTGGCGTCCGCCTAACTCAATACATTCTTCCATCCATGCATCCACCCATCCATGCATCCCGTGTGTGTGTGTGTGTGTGTGTTCATTGCTCATCTGTTCGTTCCTTCCTCTCTCTCTCTCTCTCTCTATATATATATATATATATTTCTCTCTCTCTCTCTCTCTCTCTCTCTCTCTCGCTGCCTTCCTTCCATCAGCCATGTGACATAATATAGTCCGCTCATGTCACAATGTCTTGCCTAGTGTTTGTGTATACATATATATATATATATATATACATATATATATATATATATACATGTATGTGTATATATATATGCTCACACCCCCCCCCGAAGACCTACCGCGAGGTGCTTCGGCTAGCAATGGGTAGTAGAACATGTAAGGATTTGAGGAAACCATTAGGATAAAATACACTCATACATAAACAATGGACACATATATCGTGTATAATCAATAGCTGAATACACTGTAATGACCTACGACGGCGCGACATCGCCGTTGGCGGATTTGGGCAAGCTTCAATGCCTGCAATTGTTTAATAGGATACTGCCTAAATGTTCTGGATATTCATAGCTCTGGTCATATCTTTAAGGCTCTTGGAGACTTTGTTACTTTGTTCCTTTTTTGGTTCCGGTCTTCTTTATAGGGGTCTCCGAAAAAGTAGTTTTTTGCTTACCTTCCAAGGGGAGTAGAGATATAATGACCATAGGCATAACCCGAAGACAGGACCAAGACAGAACAGTGTCTGCATCCTACGTAAGATCGTTAGATGCGCCGGGTAACTTTGTGTTTGTCATTGTCTGTTTTTAATTTTGTTCATGTACTCATAAGCATAACCCAAAGACGGGACCAAAACAGAACGATGTGTGCATCCTACCTAGGATCGTAATGAGGGTTACATGTGCACACATGTTTATTCTGTGTGAAGCTCTTAGGTTACTCATGCGCCAATGTGTATAATAGCTATTACTAGTGCGAATACTAATACTGATACTAAGATTTCTATTCCTACGAATAAGGATATTACTGTTCATAACATAATAGGCTTAATGGTTAATACTAGTATTAAAAATTACACTACTAATTCGAATAGTAGTGCTGATGGGAATATTAACACTCCTGGGGATACTAATACGCATATTCTTATTAGCTGTTCTCAATATGAATACTAATAGTACTAGTTGTTTGGAATACTAATACTTGTCCGAATATTCATACCAATACTCAGGCTACTGCGATTATACATAATAGGACATTAATATGGGTATTCGTATTAAGGTCAGCATTTCCTTCGAAAGTATTCATATGCGCATCATAATTCATCTTAATACTCGTACTGATATGAGTTAGTATGATTACAAATACCTTTACGAAGACGGGTACTTTCAGTAATACCGATACTAATATGAATACTAGTGTTCCTACGAATATTAAAAAACATACCCATACTGATAGTAATTTTAGTATCTATTTGTTACCAATATACACGCATATGCTAACATTAATACTAATATGCACATAAGTGATACAGTTCCTCCGCAGATTAATGCGCATAGTCTTATTAATTATTCTCAGTAGTTATATTCACATTAAAAAAACCTACACTAACATGAATAGCAGTATTACCACTTGATACTCCAGCTAGTACGATTATGCATAGTATGAACAGCGATACTGCTATTGATACCAATATTAATGCTCCTACGAATACTAATAATCACGTTCAAACCAAATACAAAAAACAGACACATCAATGTACCAAAGAATCTGTATTTTCACATACCAATAAATAATATGTATACTACTATTCCACTGTTACCATAGACTTACAAATACAGAATATACTGATATGAGACTATACACTGGTTAATATTAACGCTAAGAATAAGGCAGAGACTAAGACCAAGACTAATACGAATACTAAAACTCACACTAGACATTAACACTACCATTAGTACACCTATTGTATAGACTTATATTCAGACTAGTACTAACGCTGACATTGGAATTGACATTGACACTGACGCCAACACTAACAGTAACACTAATCAACACGCTAGAACGCAGATACTAATACTAACACTAATGCCTAATGCAAATCTGAAGACTACTGCGCGTAAACAACGAAACCATTTCCGATCAAGCATGCTGCGCGCTGTATTGGCTCTAAGGCTCCGAGAACCAAAAATCCAAAAAACCAAAAATCCAAAACCTTTGTCAGGGGGGTCGAAACTTTTGGATTTTTTGGTTTTCCTAGGGTTTTTTTGGTTTTCCAACAGAAAACCAAAAAAATCCAAGGTTTTTTTGGTTTTCCAGCAGAAATCCAAAAAATCCAAGGTTTTTTTGGTTTTCCAGCAGAAATCCAAAAAAACACAGGTGTTTTTTGGTTTTTCACGAGAGACACAGCAGAAAAACCAAAAAAACCTTGTGTTTTTTTGGTTTTCCACCGAAAATCCAAAAAAAGCCATGGTTTCGCCAAGGCAAAGCCCAAAAAACCAAAAAAGACCTAGGAAAACCAAAAAATCCAAAAGTTTCGGGCCCCTCAGAAAGGCTTTGGATTTTTGGATTTTTGGTTTTTTGGTTTCCGCCGTCATATCGTATGGTTTCTTTAATGTTTCTTGCTTATGAATACAGGCATATGAATTTGAAAGCGGACACGAGTAGGCACGACGTTGTAAAGAGACATGACTTCACATCAGCCATGATAGAGAAGGTATCATCCCCGAAAATTACGCAAAGCACGAATCGTATGCCAAACGCGAATCCCTGCCAAGAGAAGGTTTTGACGGTATTTACAGTGGAAAAGAGGCCGAGGTAGGTCATGGGGGGGGGTGTGTCCATATATATATATATATATATATATGCTGTGTGTTTTATGGTGCTTGACACGCTTGTTGTGTGATTTCCATACGTGAGCCAAGGAACAACATTGCTTCGCCAGCCACAAGAGCTACACGCATGTACACTTGACATGTATGCTGCGCGAGGCATGTAAACTCAGCACCTCATGCAAAGCTTGTCAACAGCCTCTCCAGCCTCCTCTTCAGGGCCCTTTTCGATCCAGATCGGATGGCACAATCTGCGGACCATGCAAATGCCATTTGCCGGGGTCCCGGCAGACGGGATTGTGTGGGGTTTGCAGATTCGGGGTATGAGCTTGAGTCAGTTACGCCACTCAGAGTTTCCGATTCAATGGTTCATGGGCATTTGGAAATACTGCAGGTCGCTTCGAGAGCAAGCGTGCGCATCGCAGCACCGTGCTGTACTATGCCTGGATTGTTAGTAGCATATATAAGTAACCTTTACCCTTTTTGAGGTGCCTTTTCCCGGTATAGTGCCAAAGGCTAACCTCTGGTTCTCTTAGCCAGCTGATTTCAAAATACCAGGAGCCAGGAGCCGTCTGGGGCTGCTAACGAATTCTACCTCCCTAAGCGCCAAGCCTCTAAACCGTACAAGTTCTAAAACCCAAACCACTAAACCCTGAACCCAATATGATTCACCTTAAAGAACCGGGCTGTTCAGTGGTACACTTGTTTATTTTCAGGTTTCTGGGTTCCTATTATAAAATAAGAAGCCTAAAAAGCACATACATTTTTCCCAGTGAGTTAAACTGAACAGCCCAGAGAACTCACAAGTTGCATGCCGAAACCTGGAAGACCACCAAGCTCTAAGCTGGTGAGAGACTCGATGCTTTCAGTTTAGGGTTTAGCGGTTTCGGGTTTTAGGGTTTAGGGTTTAGGGTTTTAGGGTTTCGGGTTAAGGGTTTAAGGGTTTAGGGTTTAGAGGTTTAGGGTGTTTTAGGGTTTAGGGTTTAGGGGTCTCAAGCGAGCAAAAAACACTTGTAGTGGGTATATCGGGATTAAGGCAGAGGATGGTGTGCTGAAAGTTCCCTCCTGGACGGCCTTCTCCCGGAGTTGCCCTCGGGCTTTGTCCCTCTGCTTTGGTACGTTGCCCTACAGCGCAAAGCTCCAGGCTCTGAAGTGTCCAAACTTGAAGCCCTGAAGCAGAAAATCAAGTCGACTTATCAGAACTCCCAAACTCTAAGCCAGACCAAGCCATGCTAAATTGAGGTTTATAGTGTTTGCCTTCAAGATTTTGGGCTTGCGGGCCTAGGTTTCCGAATATGCAGGGCTTCGGATGTAGAGTTCGGTCTAGTCGGATTTAGGTGTCGGGATGCCAAGGCGAGCGCTATGGTGTCAAGATCCTGTCGGCGCCTCGAGAGGGCTCTTGGGTCATCAGGTTGGGGTGCAAGGATTTGTGGCTTCGGATTCTTGTGGAGGGATTAATTTAAGTTACCCCACATTAGGGATCTATAGGTGGTAACTTAAACTAAAGCCTCAACAAGAACCCAGTTATGGCTTTGGGGGATCGTCGCTGGAACCCCGGGTAGCTCAAAGCCCTGGCACCCCAACACGCCCGAGCCAGCCAACCGAAGAACCTAAACCCCAAAACCCTTCTCCCCAAAATAGGGGCCTTAACAATTCCCTGTATTATTTTGGGGGTTCCTTAATTATAACTAGTGTCGGGGCCCTGTTCTAATTACTAAGGCTCCTTAATACACCACTAAACCCTCATGTAAGCCCTACCCTAAGCCTTTAGAAGCAAATCTGAACCCCGCGTGCAAGACTCCTAGTGGAGCCAGTACAGCGGTGACACCAGTCTGCTGAAGTCCTTAATCAGAGCATTAAAAGCACCTCTAAACTTCAAATCTCGACCGTAAGCCCTGCGCACTACACTCAAAAATCTGAGGACTTGGTTACGACACACATCGAAGCGGAAATGTATATAAAGGCCCGGAGAAACAGCTCAACCAACCAGCGCGCGACGAACCAGAGCCCGCTAGCCTGAAGCTTGAAACACTTCGAGGCTTATGGCTTGGAGTTTAGTCTTTACCAGTTCGGGTTAATCCCCAAATCCATGCAAAGAGATAAAGTGTCATGAGGAGTGGGCAGAGCGAGTGATGAGCTGTCGGAATCCGAACCCCGAACCTCGATTCCTCATCGATTCAAGGCAAGTCCAAATCGGTCAAAACGTCCTTAAACCGAAAACCCCCAAAATGTTGCAAGTGGTTGACCGAGCCCCAGCGCTCTGAAGCCCAAGGCCCTGAGAGTAAGCCCAGACCTCTTTCTGGTTTACTTCCCCGAAGCCCTCCAAACCACACGGGGTCATTTTTCGAGTTAGACAGAACCGGGCTACAAAGTTGCAAACTTCTAACTGCGGACAGTGAACCCCAAGACGTAAGCCACACTAAACACTTCCACTAAAGCTTAACCCCTAGGCCCCGAAACCCTAATTCCTAAACCCCAGGTCCATCAACCTCATCTCAGTGTCTCCGTCCGACCGCGGGCTGCTAGATGCCCTGAGTAAGGGCGTCCTCACGACACGTTTAAGATTGAAGTCCAGTATAATGTGTAGTAAGCGAAATATGTTATGTCATGGAATGGAAGTGTATGGTATGGTATAGTGTAGTAACATGTAGAGTGTATGGTATGGTATTGTATGGTATCGTATGGTATCGTATGGTATGGTATCGTATGGTTTGGTTTGGTGTGGTCTGGTCTGGTTTCGTCTCGTCTGCTCTGGTCTGGTATGGTATGGTGTGTGTAGTGCAGTGTAGTGCAGTGTAGTGTAGTGTAGTGCAGTGCAGTGCAGTGCAGTGCAGTGCAGTAGAGTAGAGTAGAGTAGAGTAGAGTAGAGTAGAGTAGAGTGTAGAAAGTAAAGTACGGTATGGTATGGTAAAGTGTAGTATAGTATATTGTAGCAAGCACAGTATGGTATTGTATGGTATATGTAGTGTAGTGCAGCATAGCATAATATAGTACAGTATGGTATAGTGAGTATAGTGTAGTAAGTGTAGTGTGGTAAGGTATGGTATAGAGTAGAGTATGGTATAGGATTGTAAGGTATAATATGGTGTGGTATGGTATGGCATGGTACGGTGTGGTATGGTATGGTATGGCAGGGTAGGGTATGGTGTGGTATGGTATGGGATGGCATGGTCCGCTATGGTATGGCATGGGTATGGTATGGTATGGAATGGTAAGGTGTAGTTCAGTGTAGCGTAGCATTGCATAGCGTTGTACAGCACATTATAGTGCAGTAGATTTAGTGAAAATGAGCAACTTATAGTGTAAGGATCAAGCTCTGCGGTGGTGATCATATCTGCGGTGTATGATTCGCGTTCAAGACCCCATGTTGTGACAGACTTGATTGCTGTGGGCTCGTCATGTGGTACACCGGAAACTGAAGTTTGAGCATGTGACCACAAGTGGGGATGACTTACGATGGTTTTGGATGTGCGTATTGCCAGACGACAAAACTAGATTCTGAAGTGTGAGGAATAGTCACTGACGGCTGCAGGTTACTATAATTCGACGCAGGATGTGCGAACTCTCAAGCCACGCACTTTGTCAGGGTTCGGGGTTTGAGTTCAAGACAGTCCAGCGCTACGATCGCGAGTTACTAGAGTTTTCTTCTGACCTAAACCCTAAACCCTAAACCCTCGCCCATGTGCCCACAGGTCTCGAACAGACAGGGCGGAGAGACAAAAACGCAAGGAAGAGCCAGGACGAGAGACGGTTGGTAAGAAGAGAAAGCACGAAACCCCCTAAAACCTAAACCCTAAACTTAGGGTTTAGGGTTTAGGGTGAGAAGGGGTGGAGAGAGAGAGAGAGAGAGAGAGAGAGAGAGAGAGAGATGTTGCAAGCCATAGTCAAACGAAGCGACACGGACAGAACGCGCAATGGAACTAGGGCTAAGCCTGTTCAATTATGGCACATGTGTAACCCGCCAGCCTCAATCTAATGCTGAAAGAGCCCGCCAGGCAGTGGCCACAGTGGCAGCAGAGCAGACGGAGACAGCTGCACGAGGCGCATCAGTTGGGGTCGGTTCCCGGATCTTTCAATCTTTCCATGATTCGGTTTAATATAGGGGCCTTGACAATTACCTTTACTATTTTGGGTGTTCCTGATTATAAGTGTAGTACAATGGGCCCCCAAACCCTATTCTAATTATTAAGGCCCCTACAGTATGTGGTTTACCCGTTCGGTTTGGGGATGGGATCCCGAGGAGCCAGCGACAACGAGTTTCCGGGTGCATGGAATGGCGTCTTCAGGAGATCGAGTAGCCACTGTGCTTTCTAGTTGCTATAAGCTTGTACAGATGCTCGCCCTACGTCCCCCAGCCCAAACCCCATTCTAGCTATAGTTGATACGTACATTTGCTGACGACCGAGTTGCACTGCTGCGCTGGATCGTCATGTCCTGCAACATGCCTGTGAATCGCCAGCCCGCCGGCTGCCCAAAAACAAGACCTTGCACAGAGCACCTGCACCAACAGAAATGGGAGTTTCCGAAAACAGGGGGTACCTAATTTTGGTGTCCTTATAATAAGGATCCTGCTGTTTAGGGTACTATATCACAGTCCCCTATTTTCGGAAACTCCCAAATGCTCTCAGATCGAGTTCTTCTTAAAGAGCAGCCCTGGCACTCTGGCTGGACCCCCCAACGTCTGTTACTTGTGACTGCGTTCATTATTCCTGTTTTTTTGTGAATGGTGACTCGTGAGTAGTCGCCTGATGAAGTTAGCAACTTCTACCGATGTTGGTGTTGCTTTTCCTGTTGCTGTTGACGGTGCTGTTGCTGTGGCTCGTACTGATAGTTGTAGTCGTCTGTTTGTACTAACTTTCTATTTGCAATAATTGTTGCTTGTTGTCGTGATCGTCATCGGTTTTCTTCTGTGCAGTTGAAGTACTTGATCTTGTTGTCGTCTTCGCTGTCGTCGTCGCGGTGTTATGGTGTTGAGCTGCTGTTATGCTGCTGTTGCTCCCTAAACCCTAAACCTCTAAACCCTAAACCCCGAAACCCCTAAACCCTAAATGCTTAAAGCCCTAAGCCTCTAAACCCCCGAAGCACAAAACCCCTAAACCCTAAACCTACAGCTCCAGCTGCAGGCGAAGCTCAGGCTTTGCTGTTGAAGGCTCTGTGGGCAGAGATCGGCTTCGGGAGGGGGAGGTAAGGGATGGTGGGTTTCTGGTGTTGGGTTTAAGGTTTAGGGGTTTAGGGTTCATGGATTACGGTTTAGGGTTTGGGGTTTCTCGGCTTAGAGTTTAGGATTTGAGTTTTAGGGTGTAGGGTTTAGGGAGTAGGATAGGTGCCGGGATAAGTAGTATACTCGAGTATGCCGCTGCCATGATAATCCTCACATTTTTATAGTATGATGTAGCCCCCAAGGGTTCCCAAGCCCTGTTCTGGTCATGAAAGACCAGACGCTACTGGGGTTTGGGTCTAGGGCTCAAGAGTCAGGTCTTAGGAAGACTCTTCCTATCGATAGCTGGTACTGGAAGTCGAGTTCATGATTCTTGAACTCATTGTTTAACGGGGTTAGGCCGGGTATGTGGGGATCTCGGGTGTGTATCTCAGAGATTGAGATACACTTAGTGCCGACGAAGGTGCGGGGGCTAGGGCTTGAGGGCCATGCTGTGTACCAGTGGAGCAGCAGCTGAAGCATGTTGTGAGTAGCATTGTTGTTATCTGCTGAACATCGCATGTACTATAATATAATGTTACACGTTGTCTTCGTGATAGTCATTCTCGTCGTTGTGAAGTTTTTGTTTGTCTTTGTCATTAAGCGCCGTCGTCGAGGTCGTCGGTGTTGCGTCTGTTGCTGGTGATGCCAACAAACCGAGACTCACAACCATACCCACACAAAGCCCACCCATTACCCCAAGGGTCCATGTACCCAAATAGCATATACTTTAGCCTTAAAGTAGTCCCTATATAGGTACTTTGGGGCCAAAGTATATACTATTTGGGTACATGGACCCCTAGGGTTAGGGTCTTGGAGTGCTGGAGCCTCCTGGCGTCATCTCGAATCTTAGAGGAGGAGCCCTTGCAGTTTTTTGCTTTCCCAGACGTTTGAGGATCCGATGCCGACAGGGCCCTCAAGAGAACATCCTACCCCAAGACTAAAGCAATCACGCGACAGCAAAAGCGCCCAACAGAAAGCAGACGCGCACACACACACACACAGACAAAAAGAAAACCCTAAACCCTAAACCCTAAACCTAGCCCTGACCCCAAACTCAGAACCCTAAAGCCTCTGTCTTGCCGCATGAAGCCTCGAAGGCCAAAGCCGAAGCCGAAGCTGCCAGGATCAGGGCAGAGGCATTCTTGGGGGAGGGGTTTTGGGAAGTACTCCGGTGTAGGGCTTGTAGGGTTTAGGGTTCAGGGGCTTAGAAGTTCAGGGTATATAGTATAGGGTTTGGGGGTTTAGGGTTTAGGCTTTGGGGGGTTCAGGGTTTCTAGGGTTTAGGGTTTGGGGGTTTAGGGTGTCGGGGTTTAGGGTGTAGGGTTTGGGGTTAGGGCTTGCAGGGTTTAGGGTCTAAGGCTGCGGGTATTCATTTGTGTAGGTTCTAGTGTTGAGCGTAGGTGTAGGGAGTGTGGGGTTCGGGGTAGGCCTGTGCTTCAAGGATTTGGGCCGGGTTGGGATCCCGCGTTTCTGGATTGGGATCCATTTTTCGCACCCTTTTGCTAGGTTTCAAGGTTTCAAGGCGTTTAACTGCCTATGTTGCGGCATTTGCTTGCCTCCGCCCTCACTCCTGAGATCTAGGCCAAAAATCCCGTCGTTCAAAGATCCAGCCCAAGAGTTCAAACCCGGACCTCACAGCTCTAGGCGAGCCATGGCAGCCCGTTCCCATGCTCTAGAGGCCTGAGTAATTCGAATAGGGTATAGGTAACTATTTAGCCCAAGCTCCAAACCAGTCTATTCCGAAGCCGTCTACAGCCCTGAAACACGAAGCGGATCCTAAACCCCGAACCCTAAGCCCCGCCTAAACCCCACAGCCTAGCCCTAAAGGCTTAACCTCCAAGCCCCGACCTCGAAACCCCAAACTCCCTAAGTTACTAAGCCCGACAAAAGATCCCCGAACCCTAAACTCCCCAAAATGAGCCCGAAACATATACCCCCAAAACCTCGAAGCCCTTCAACCCTGAGCTCCGTGAGCCCTAAACTCCCGAAGCCCTAAACCCCTAAACCCTACCTCAACCCTAAACTCCCGAAGCCTCAAATCCCTAAATCCCATCCCCCCCAAACCCTAAACTCCCGAAGCCTCAAATCCCTAAATCCCATCCCCCCCAAACCCTAAACTCCCGAAGCCCTAAACCTCTACACCCTAAGCTCCCGAAGCCCTAACTCCCCAAATCTCCCTGAAGCCTCGAAGCTTCCCTCAGGGCGACGCCCGAGCCGAGGAAGTTCGAGCTGAGGGATCCCTGAAGGCGCCGAAACAGGGCAGCTTTTTTTTGTTTTTCGGAGGGCGGTTGAGGCTTTAGGGTTTAGGGGGCGGGGTGGTGGTAAGTTTTTGGGTTTGGGGGTTTAGGGTCTAGGGGTTCAGGATTTAGGGCTTATAGGGTTTCTATAAGGGTTGGGATTGCTATATGGAATGTTTGGTGATACCTTCCGCACTCGACAGTGTTGTAATAGGGATCCCGGAGTATGAAGGCACTGAGAGGAAGGGCACCGATTAATCACCGGTCAGCATGATGTGATGTTGGTTTTTGTTGCAACTCCATGGCCCAAAGAGTCCAAGTAGTCCTTATTTATGGTTTTTGACACTTAAAAAGGCCCTATAAAGTCCTATAATAGGGAGTACTTGGACCCTCTGGGTGGTGGTTTAGGAGTTGGAGCTTAGAGTTGAGGATTGCGGCGGTCCAGGTAGGTAAGGGCTCGAGGTTGGGGTTACCGTGTTTGGAGTCCAGCGGGTAGGGTTTTGCGGTTCAACCTAAACCCTTAACCCTGTACCCTAAACCCTATATGGGCGGCTGTCAAAATGATGGTCCCTTTTTGGGTCCTTATTATAACACGGCACCTATAATATTTAGGGTACCCAAAAAGGGACCAAAATTTTGACAACCACCCATACGCTAAACCCTAAAGCCAGCTGTGTAACAAAAGGCTTCGCTGTGAGAGCTCCTATCTATCAAACCCAGACTCGCCTTCCCTAAGGCTCCTAATAGGCTTAGGGGCTTTGTGGGCGAGCGTTTGGGCTTTGGGGGCTAAGGTTTAGGATCTCGCTACGAGGGTCCAGGAGCATTAGGGTTATAGCAGCCCATGAGAGGCGCCCCCCGCCGTAAACTCTTAAACTTAAACGACCCTGAACCCTAAACCCCACCATCCTAACCCCAAGCCCTACTCCACAAAAAGAAGCCAACAAGAACACAGACCCCACACCCTAAAGCCCTAAACCCCCAAACCCCAACCCCCTCCCCGAAGCCCAAAAACCCACAAGTCATCCCAAAGAAGCAGGTAAATGGGAGTTTCCGAAACTAGGCGACCCTAATATGGTACCCTATCCTCATTTTCAGAAACTCCCAAATGGGTGGTCGTCAAAATCAGGGTCCTTTTTGGGGTACCCTAAATAATAGGTGCCGTACTATATTAGAGACCCAAAAAGGGACCATAATTTTGACAACTACCCAAATAACCCTAACGACAACCCCAGAAGAAACTGCTCTGAGGCCGCCAAGAGACTCGAGGATTCCGAGGCCCTGGGGGTGACCGAGACCTCTTCCCAGAGATCCCAATACCCCTTAACTAAGGAATATACCCCGAAGACCCATAATAATCCCTAAGCCCTCAACCCTACCCAGAGATCCCAATACCCCTGAATTAAGGAATGTACCTTAAACCATAGTAGTAAGGCCCCTATACTTTAAGGTATATTCCTTAATTCAGGGGTATTGAGATCTCTGGGTGCAAGGGTACGGTTGATTTTATAGCGTCCTTAAGTGGTTCAAGGGGGGAGGGTACAAGGGATCCTTAGGGAACTGTAAGGGGATCTTAGGGAGCACTAGGGGGAAGTCGGGATCTGTAGGTTATCTCAATAATTGACGATATACATCTTGCATTGACCATAACAAGGAGGGCAATCAAGGTAATGCAGGGTCTGTATCATCGACCGTTGTCCTCTGAATTACTGTTTTAAGGTATAAGTGCTTTAGGTTTTAGGGTTTGAGGGTTTAGGACTTTAGGTTTTTTTTGTGGGGTTTTAGGGTTTCGGGTTTAGGGGTATGAGGGTAGTTCTTGAACTTAGGGTTTTAGGGGCATTCGGGTTTAGGGTTTCAGGCTTTAGGGTTTAGCATTAAGGGTGTTTTAGGGTCTAGCGTTAGTGCAGTTTTCTAAACTGTATTTAGGATGTAGGTTTCCCTTCTAGGCTCGTTATAATGAGCGTGGCGTCATGTGTTGGGGGCTTGAACAAGGACCCTGATTTAGAGAATTACCCACAAGAGTGCCCATAGCATTTCTATCGGACTTCTCTTAGGGTGCCATAAAGGCTCTACAGAGCTTCTATAGGATGTTTGTATCTTACCTTTTTCGGGGTTCAACAAAGGGCCTAGAGGGACTGAAAGGAATTGTCTAAGTCTAGGGTTCTCGGTTAAGGTTTAGGGTTTAGGGTGTAGGGTTCTATGCGAGAAGGTTTGTGGTATTCCAGTTGAGGATGTTACGGCTTCAGGCTGTCGGGGAAGGTTAGGTGTTGGATTTTCGGCAATTGGGACTTAAGGGCTTTTTGTTGCGCTTAGGGCTCTGGGCTTAAAGTTTAGTCTTTTGCGATGTTGGGCGGCGATCCTTTTCGGGTTTAGGGAGGGAAGTAGGGTTTCGAGGAGGGGGGGGGTGTTGGGGTGTTGAGTTTTAGCGCTTGCAGTTCTAAGGCTTGACTTGAGATTTGTGTTTTGGCTTTAGGGCTTAATTAGACTTCAAGGCAGACCCCTGTTGGACTATGATAGGGAATGGGCTCTTTGGGATTGAATGGCCTAGTTTTATGGAGCTTTGGATATAAGGTTTAGATGCGTGAGTTCTAGTTTCGGGTATGAGGCTTGAAGGCGTGGAGGTTGTTTGCAGTCTATGCGTTTTCAGTCTTGAGGCTGTACCATCTTGGTGTTTTTCCAACTTTTAGTAGTGCACTGACTGCCCATAGGCCCCATAGTAGTTCCTTTTTACCTTATAGGATTCTACATATTGTGAACCCCAAAAAAGAACTACTCAGAGATCCCAATACCCCTCAATTAAGGAATAGATTCACCTTAAATTAGAACCTTAATATTTGGTTTGAGGTATATTCCGCAATGAAGGGGTATTGCGATCTCTGGGTACTATGGGGCCTATGGGTGGTCCTAAACCTCAGAGTTTTGACCGCCCTTACGGTTGATGATATAAATCCTGCAATACGCAAAACAAGGAATATGCCATGATTCGCATGGTTTAGGGTCCTTAAGGTCATGCAGGGTTTGTATCATCAACCGTATGGGGCCTATGGGTGGTCCTAAACCTCAGAGTTTTGTCCGTCCTTACTTACAGGCCCAGGGGACTTAGTAAGTAGGTTATAAGTAGGGTTATAAGTGCCCTAAATGGAGTTACCCCAATTATAACCCTACTTATAACCGACTTACTAAGTCTCCTGGGCCTCTAAGTAGACCCTAAACCCCAAACCCCACGGATCCCCTTAAGGAACCCTATAGATCCCTTTAAGGCACCCTAGACTAGAGATCCCCAACTTACTAAGTCCCCTGAACCTCTAAGTATCACCCCGCAGAGGTGGCCATCGCTTTGGCTAAGATGAAGACGGCAGGCGGCTGCCTCAAAGACGGCAAGGCCCAGTAGGGTTGAGGGTGTAGGGTTCCCTAAGGCTCCATGTACCTTTATAGTAGATACTTAAGCCCTAAAGGGGTCCCTACATAAGGCCTATGTATCTACTATATGGGTACACGGAGCCTTAGGGGTTGAGGGTATAGGGTTGAGGGTTTAGGGTCGAGGTTTCGGGTGTAGGGTTGCGGGTTTCGGGTGTAAGATTGAGAGTTTAGGGTTGAGGGAGGGCTTGCGGGTAGGACGTGCGGGAATTGTGGATGCAGGGTGTGCGGGTGAATGGGTAGGCCTATATGGGACCTAAGTATAAGCTGGATTCACCAGTTGGTCCTGTGATGTCTCGGCACATCTAAACTCTAAACCCAAACCCCCCGGCTCAAGCACGGATCCAGCTTCGGCGGGGAACCGGGTACGAATGCAACAAGGTCGCAACTCGGCTGGTACGTCTGGTAATCTGGTACGAACAGTGATCATAGAGATTGTAGCCATGCAAGAAGCCTTACAACACGCAGGTGTAGCGGCTTCCAAAACCTATGAATTCCGTTCTTGGGCATTTTTTATATTCAGGATCCGACGGCTGAAGATTGAAATCATGATCTCTTATTCTTGGATCTGGAAGTCTGTCATTGTCCCTGCCCCGACCCGGAAGCGCCTTTGATAGATGGGTGTCCTGATAAGGCTACAGTAAGGTTTGCCACCGTAGCAAGGGAATCTTTCTATTTTGGCAGCAGGTGTATTGAGTAACTGTCCGATGGTGATGCCTTGTGGGTTTCGGAAATGTTGTTCCGGCTTACAGCTTGGGATTTGTTTTGCGTTTACGGTTCAGGTTTGGCTATTTAGCTGCCATGCTTCAGAATGTAGGACAGCTCAAAGAGTTTCCCTGCTGATTTTCCAGCACCGGGTTTGCGCCAGCTTCCCTGGGAGTTTCAGAAGATATGTGGGCGTAGTTTAGACATGACAGTTGCACGATCGATCACACGGTTAGAAGCTTCAGGACTCCTAAGTTATATGTCTGGTTTGATTACAGTGTTCGTGAACTACGTATCGGTTCCCGATTTCTTAACTTGCAGAGAAGACCTAAAATGCGAAGCTCTAGTCAAACATGTCTTGTAGCGCTTGATCAAGACCCACGCGACCGCAGCACAAGTTGCCCAATCGTTTGGAGGTCTCGGGTCACCTCGCTCCACCAGTTTCCAGAAACCTACAATCACTGCCGCCTCCACCTTGCAGTAAGCTTGCTTTGTTTATGCTGTCTCCATATGCTCCATCGGTGAAGCCAAGTAGTCGAGACAGCAAGCGCCGTCATTTCAGTCACCGGTCCCATTTTTATAGTGCTCGTGACAAAGATCACAGTCAGACCCCAAGCGCGCTGGACCTTGAACTACAATCATACGCACAATCCCAAACCTTACAATCAAATTTCCTAAAATCCTTGTAAAGCCCTAGAGCCTGATTCGTTGGTTTTCGGGAGGCGAACTCCTTCTTCTTCGGCCTGAATGGCGCGGCCGACATCCCAGGAGGCCACGGCCAAAGTTCGAAGTACATCATATCGCGCAATGCTGGACATGTTCTGAACGTTTCGGGTTTGGTTAATGTATGGTTTAGTTGCATGTCTTGTTTCGTCTGTGATGTTCGCACCCCAACCAGAAAGCCCACCATCAGGGCTTCCCACATCCCTGGAGCCGTAAAGCAGGCTTTGAGGTTTACGGCTTTGGGGGTCAGGGTCTAGAAACTCCAGAACCGCCAGAATAGAGCTGTTCAGCGGCACTTCTCTTACCCTTGGTTAGTAGGGAATGGAGGAATGGGGCACATTCATAATTACTAGAACTGCCATTCTTCCATTCCCTACGAACCAAAGGTAAGTTCTGCCGCACGTGAAGACGTTTATATTGCTAAGGCCGTGTTCAGCCGTGATACTGTTGATGGACAAAATCCTGCATTACCGTTTTATAGGGAATATATCATAGTTCCCATAGTTTAGGGTCCTTAGGGTCATGCAGGATTTTGTCCAGCAGCAGTATGGTGTTCGACATGTGGATCATCTCATGGCCCCCTACGGTACTGGGTTCCTTGTGGCCCTGAGGGTCCTCTGTGCCTCAAGCTACAATGTACCCTAAGGCCCCATGTACCCATATAGTAGATACATATAGCCCTTACAGTACCTGTATAGGGATCCCTTCGAGGCCTAAGTATCTACTATAAAGGTACATGGAGCCTTAGGGTCGGAGCCTCTGCAAGGCCAAAATGAGGGTTATGGAGACATGTTCCGCTTTTTTCGAGTTTATAGCAAGCCGGACGATAGCTTTGCAGGCCCTAAGCTCAAAACGCTACACCCTAACTGACCCCTACATACCGCAAAGCCGTGCAAAGCCCTAATTCTGAAACATTAAGCCCCAACCCTAACAACCAAGTACCCAATGACTAATCATACACTCTCCCAGATACTAGCCTACATAACTACTATCCTAGCCCCGAGTGCCTAATTATTGCGTCCTTTGGACCCTCAGGGCAATCCCCTATAAACCCTAAACCCTAAACCCCTAAACCCTAAACCCTTGCAGGAATGCTTGGCACTGCCGCTCTGGCAAATGTAGCCACCTCACAAAAGTGAGCGGAGGCGCGTCTTGCCGGATGGTCGTAGGGACCCTTCGCGGGGTAGGGGGGAGGGAGGTAGGGGAGTACACTTCCAAAAAGAGGCCTGAGTAAGTCCTGATTATAGGTACGGAGAATTCGGAGGCTTTTATTAGACGCAGACATTTCCCGTCAGGTATTTGCGATTTACACGAGACGACCCATGGCATATGAAGTTTTGGGGCTTGATTGATGAAACATCGCATCCCTTAGGGTTCCCAATATACTGATATTACATATCTAGGGAGTATATTGCAGGGGTTTATTGAAGCGCCAGCATAAATAGCTGGAGACCCAGGAGACATCGTAAATGACCTACTCCTTGATTTCGACGATCCCTTCGAAGGCCGACGAGGTGTGCAGCGTGACGCTCAACTTGTGATTGCGTGCTGCTGCAGCTACCTGCACCAATCCTTATCTATGTCTAGGTTGCTGGCAACCAAATGCCAAGCTGTCGACATCGAGATTGACTGACTTAAAGACCTCGCATCTGCTCTAATCAGCCAGAGGCCTGAATGATTAGACAATGGGCTTCGAGCCTGACCGTGTAATCTCATGTATATGTGCATATATACTATTATTTGTTGTTATTATTATTAATATAATTGTTATTATTAATATTATTATTCTTATTCTTATTCTTATTCTTATTCTTATTCTTATTCTTATTCTTATTCTTATTATTTTTCTTATTCTTATTCTTATTCTTATTCTTATATATATATATATTTATATGCATATTTCTATTTTTATACTTATATGGACTTGATGGGTATACGGCATGCATGTGCTTGCGAGAGTTGTTCTGCGAAGGTTCTGGCAGTGCATTCAAGCTCTGACAACTTTTGCAGGAGCACTCGCTGAAGCCGACACAGGATTCTGAAGGTAGTACTGTTACTCTCCTGGCTTTCTACTTTTCTCTATCCTCGCCGCTTCTTCAGCCGTGCAAAAAGACGCCTGAATATTTAAACCGTCCAAGCCTTCGGGTTTAGGGTTGAGGGCTTAGGGCGTGCTACCTCGATTTGGTCGCCAGCAACGTGTGCAGCGCATCTGAAATGTGCAGCTGCTGCCCCATCTCAGATTGGCTCAGAGCTGCTGATGCCAAGGCTCGGCATGCATTATGATCACGGTTCAAGGTTCAGGGACTATATTATATAGCCCTAAATCCGTAAACCCCAGACCCCTAAACCCTGAAACCCCACACCCGAAAGCCCTAAACCCTACCCAGAGATCCCAATACCCCTTAACTAAGGAATATGCCTTAAACCATAGTAGTATTTAAGGTATATTCCTTAATTCAGGGGTATTGGGATCTCTGAGTATGTAGGCCGTGAAGGGCCTTTTAGGTTCCATCGTGAGAGTCCCGAAGCCTCAAGTTACAAGACGCCCGCGGATCCTTCAGGCACGGAGGGTGTCCCGAAGTTTCTGTTGGGACTGTAGAGATTGGGGTTTCAGCCTTAGGGTTTGGGTTGCTAGGTTAAGGCTTGAGGTTTTGGTGTTTCTGAAATGTCCAATGCCACGAATCACAAAGAACGTGCATCGACACTGAAAGACAGGTAGTTGCGCATGCGCAGATGAACAGGTTTATGAATCCCGGTAGGTGGGCAGGCCGGTCTTGCGGATTATAAGAAAGGAAGGTATGCAGGTTTGCCGGTAGGTCGGAAGCTAGATATGTAGGTAGTCAGGCTAGTAGTCAGGTAGGTAACGTTCCTCGATATGACCACAGATATGTGTGTGTGTGTGTGGTGTATGCCAGTCGGTGGTATGAGACAGTCACGCAGGTAATGCACGACAGTATGTGCACGGGAGCAGGCATCTAATTATGGGGCAGGCTTTTAGAAACTGAGGTAGGTAGTATAGGTAGGCAGGTATGTAGGTAGGACGGTGGGTAGTCAGTTACGTAGGTATGTGGCCTGTGGGTAGGTAGGCTGGTAGGTAGGTGTGCAGGGCGGTAGCTGTGTGGGTACATACATATGCAGGGTACATGCCCGGCACGTTTTTTTGTTTAGCTTGTTCATGTATGTTTCGAGCAGTCACCTAGATAGGCACGCAGCTGCATCTGGGGTGATTGAATTGGTCCCCCAGTGAGCAGATGATTTGCTGAGCTCACAATGCTGGGACTGGTCGGTCTGCCAACTCGTTTTGCGTGCCGACACAACGACGAATCTGTCACATGTGTTCAACCCAACTTTCGTGTGCACGTTTAAGCCCATATAGCTCCAAGTGCTTATGCTCGTTTTGACAAGCCGCTGGTAGCAAGGCCGCTTATGCTCGTTTGGTTTGCCCGTGGTAGTAAGCCAAAGTACGAGATGTTGGTGCTGGTGTAGTAGTGAAAGTGGGTGGTAGCAGTGGTTGTGTGTTTACTGATGGTGTCGGTCCTCATTATCACCTTCGTGATAAGAATAACAACGAGACATGTACATGATGCTAGCAGTAGTAGCAAATCTATGGCGAAGGGCTCGAGATTGTCACATCCTCGAGCGGAATGAAACCCTAAACCCCAAGTATCGTTACCTTCTTCGTAGTGCAGACCACGAAGTCCCGCGCCTGAAGACCGGACAGCCGAAGCTGATCTTGGCCCGCTTCAATCCCAGGAGCCACAAGGCCCTTGTTCTCAGCTTCAACACAGTCTCGCACAGATTCCGGCGCGGTTGCTAACGCGATCAGTTCGCTGCCGCCAACAGAAGACTGCTGCGCGTCGTAAGTGCGAAAAAGTTCACCAAGAGCTCCAATGTACACGCGCATTCAATATGTGCGTGTGTGTTGAGGCAAGTCTCCGCATTGACAGGCAAAGCAAGTCAGTTCAAGCCTTCCAGACATAGAGAATAGCATTCTTCGGTTACACGATTGCTGCTGCGGGTGCTATGCCATGCATGCAGCATGCGTCATTAGTCATCGGTGTTGGGCCAGTGTTGGGGGCCGTGCTCATGTCATAGATCCCGGCTTGACAAAACTATGGTGGTGCCTTTCTTAGGTCTTACAAGTCCGTGCAAGGTTTGTAACTTGTCATCGGCCTGGAGTTGTCGTGTAGAGCTACACGAAGAGATCCTAGACACTGTGAGTCTGTTTCATCGCTCTGAGGATAGGTGAATGAATCTGTATCTATCTGTATGTACGGGTATATATATATATACACATTTGCACCTATGCACATACGTAAGTGTGCATGAGCATAACAAGAAGTATGTATGAAGTAACTGTTGGTGTATTTCAGAATGAAGCACGTAGGTGTGTATACATCTACCTACGTAGATTCGTACGTGCGTATGCATGCATGCATGCATGCATGCATGTCTGCGCATATGCATGTATGGATCTATGTTTGTATGTATGTACGTGTGTTTGTATGTAGGTGCATCTATGCATATAAGTAAGTAGGTACATATGTATGTAGTATGTATGTATATATGTATAATGTGTGTATGTATGTGTGTCTGTCTGTATGTATGTAAGTAAGTAAGTATGTATGTATGTGTGCATTGTGTATGCATGTGTATGCTGGTGAGTGCACATATGTACGTATGTGTGCAGGTATGTATAACTGCATGTCTGTCCGTGTGTAGGGTTTTATTCGTGCATCTGTATGTATGCATGCATGTATGTGCATGTACATGCATGCATGCATGCATGCATGCATGTGTGTGTGTATGTATGTATGTATGTATGCATGCATGTGTGTGTACGTATGTATGTGTGTATCTATGTATGTATGTAAGTATATATATATATATATATACCTAAGTATATGCAAGCATGTGTGCGCATAATGTCGCCACTCTGTGTATGTGTATATACGCAAGTGAATAAACAATATTTGTTTATGTCAGCACACGTGTATATCTCTATATGTGTATATATATATATATATATATATATATGTATATGTATATGTATATGTATGTATGTATGTATATGCATATATATATATACACACACATATATATATATACTTGTAGTTTGCTATGTGCATGTGTATACACAATGGGTAGCTGTAGACATTTGTGAATACATGGGTTGTCTATGTGTACTCATCTATTTACACGCCTGCGCCCCTCCCCTGTCGCTGTCGTTTACGTCAGGTTTTCTTCATGGAGATCAGCATGTCATGCATTGTCCTGTTGGATGTTCAAGACCATATGCTTCTTGCGTTTCGGATGCTACTGAGCTGGTACGAACAAGAACTGGAACGAACACTCTGAAGACACAACGCGCAAGCTGCTTCCGAGGCAGCCTAACATGTTTCGCGGGGGCATGTGATCAAGCCTGATCAAGCTGTTCATCGTGTCAGAGTTAGACGCATCATCGCCGTGCTTTTGCTCATGCTTACGGTGAACATGCTTTGGGTCAAGCCCTCAAACTCCGGCACCAGGCCCGTCAAAAAGAATTCGCGAAGGAAAGCTTACAATAACCAACTTTTTCAGGAGCCCGTATATAAACCCTAAACCCTCACCCTTAATTTAATTCAGCCTTAAGATTTCTGAAGCTCCGAGACGAAGCCCCAAATCCCTCTAGCAAGTCCCTTATACAACTCTTGTATTCACAGATCCCAATACCCCTTAATTAAGGAATATGCCTGGCATTATAGGGGCCTTAAATTGGTTCAAGGTATATTCCGTAAGTAAGGGATATTGGGATCTCTGGGTATTCTAGCCCCGAATGTAACTCTAGCGCAACAGTGGTCACGAGAGTCTTTCCCAAGCAGAGCAGCCGGTTCTGCGTGGTGCAGACCCGGACCAGGGTTTACGGGTGTAAGGGTTCAGGGTTTAAACGGTTTAGCACCTGCATGTGGAACGACAATACGACCATAGCGGACCGATGAAAGAGCATCAGGTTCGTGGTTCAGGGTTACAAATCGAAGAGTGGGGAAGTCTCCACAACCTTAGCTGCCATGCTTTATGTTCGACACCTGTCCGGACGGGAGCTAGTGACAGCTACTCAAGACGAGGTTGCTGAGATGGCCGATGCGCACAGTGTCATCTTGGGCATACCCAGAGATCCCAATACCCCGTTGCTAAGGAAGATACCGTAAACCGTATCATATAATATTAAGGCCCCTATAGTTTAAGGTATATTCCTTAACTAAGGGGCATTGAACAGCTCTTGTCTCCTCTTGTCGACCAGCCGTGCTTTCGTCTGAAGCTGATCTGCGGCTACACCCAGCTGACGCCAGACACAAACTTGAAATTACCGCTTGAATTGCAAGTAGCCGTTTGTCACTGTGTCGCAGTTGAAGCGATTGACGTTGACGAGTTCACAAATGCCTGTCGAAAAAAACGACCCTGCTGCGGTTGAGGCCTTGCTGCGGCGTCCCCTAAACCCAGACTCAGTGGATTCCGATGGTTGGACGGCGTTGCTAGCGGCTGCAGGAGGTGGGCGCTTCAGAGTGTGAAGCTACTCGCGTCCGGGTGAACGAGCCCCTCGAACAGAGTGATACGACGCCTGTCTTCCTCGCAGCTCAGACTGGTCACCCCGATGTGGTGGACTGGCTGATTGAGAACGGGGCAGACAAGGACATAGTGAGCAATACTGGTCCGACACCTGTCTACGTAGCAAGTAGCAAGTCAGAATGGTCAGCTTGATGTAGTGCGCTTGCTGATCGAGAAGGGCGCCGGCAAAGACACGGCAACACACACTGGCACAACACCTGTCTACATCGCAAGTCAGAAAGGCCGCCTTGACATAGTACGCTTAAAAAATCGAGAACGGAGCTGCCAAGGACGTTGCAAGTAACGATGGTTCAACACCTGTAATCATCGCTAGTGCCTATGGTCACTGTCATGTAGTGCGCCGGCTGATCGAGAATGATGCTGGCAAGGACACTTCGATGAACGACGGGGTAACACCCCTTTTAATCGCCAGTGAGAGCAATCAGCTTGAGGTGGTGCGCCAAGGACATTGCAGTTAAAGATGGTTCAACACCCCTTTCGGCCGCAACTTACCAAGGTCACCTCTTCATTGTGAGCTTGTTGGGAGAAATTGGTACCGACAAAGACATGTCCACGAACGATGGTTCAACACCTATCTCAGGATGGTCACCTTGACGCGGTGCGTTTGCTGATTGACAACGGGGCCGACAAGGACAGAGCAAACCGTGCCGGTGCAACACCTGTCTTCGTAGCAAGTCGGAACGGTCACCTTGGTTGCGCTTGTTGAGCGAGAAGGGCGAGGGTAAAGACACGGCACAAGACAGCAGTGCAACACCTGTCCAGATTGCAAGTTAGTATGGACATGACTGTAGCGCGCTTGCTGATCGTGCGCCGACCGGCCACGGCAACAACCGATGGAGAAACACCTGTCTTCGTCGCAATGTACGAAGGCCAGCTTACTTCTGTGTGCCTGCTTGTTGACAAGAGTGTTGGTCTTGACGCAGCAACGACGATGGTCCGACATCGCAAAGGGTCACGTTGACGCGGTGGGCGGTGGTTGTGTTGATATGGTTCAGATGGGTCCTGTTTAAGCTCGGCGCCAGGGCACCTGTGTTGCCAGCATGAGCCATTTTGAATTTTGGACATAGCGTCCCTTGCATGTGCTGAACCGTAGGACAGATGTTAGCAAAGCCCTTCAAACCAACATACAATCCGTACAAACCCCCAAACTTAGCCTGGATTACCCTGACAAGTATTGAGCCAGGACCCCTCACATCAACCCCAAGACACATGACCTAAGTTAGGCCTTGCTGTGTGAAGAAGTTTAATTTGAGAGATATTTTGGTTAGTTGTTGTGGACAGTGGCCTTTACAGCTTATCTACAACAAACAGATCGTAGCTGATATCCGGTCGTGGATGTCAAGTTTGACAGGCGCTTCACCAGAGCCTGTTCAGAGAGTGAGCATAGGCACCCTACGCCCTAAACGTCACCCAGTGTGGTGCAATACTCGAGTTAGAACACTGTTCCACTTGAGCCATGGGCGGCACGTCTTCCGTGGTCTTAGTACCCTGTGCTGCTTGGCCTGCAAGTTTTGGCTGGTACATATCTATATACCGTGCTATGTATATATATATATATATATGTATACATTCACATGCACACCCACGCACACACATCCATGCATTCATCTACCCATCCATGCGTCCATCCATCCGTCCATGCATCCATCCATCCATACATACATATATACAGACATGTGTATATATCTATATATACGCACACATCGAGACATAGTACCGTACCTATATATATATATATACAGAAATACATGTATGGAATGCCCTGGCTCAAATCTGTCAAACAGCCTGTTGTCATAGGAAGCTCCAAGTTTGAGTGTTTGGGCAACACGCCAGCTGTAGATGCTGAACACCTCAATTCCCTGGAAGCTTGAATTTCCAAATTCTTGGAGACAAGCCTAAAAGCCCAAATTCCCTGAACATGCACAGACAGTCCGTTGGCATGCGGGAGTTCCCGAAAATTAGGGGGTACCTTATTTGGGGTCCTAATAAACAAGGATTCCACTAAATAGGGTACTGTGTTAGGGTCCCATATGTTCGGAAACCCCCATGTGGCAAGGCCCGAAATGGTGAGCTGCCAAATGGCTGGCGGGAGGAGCTGCAGGTCCCTGGTGGTGAGGGATCTGTGAATGTGTGTGTGTGTGTGTGTATATGTCTATCTATATATCTCTCTATAAATATATATATATATATATATATAGATATGTATATCTGTTTATGCATGTGTGAATGTGTGTATAAAAGAAGGTATATAAGTATTATATATATATATATATATATATATATGCATGAATGTCATGTGTGTATCCATTTTTTGGAACATGTACATACAAAATGTAGATTTTTCTGAGTTATGTACCATGTTATATCTGTGCATGTTGTGAATATGCTTGTACATGCATTATATATGTGTATATATATATATATGTATATATATATATATTTGTATTTCGAACCCCCCCCCCCCCCCCCCCCCCCCCCCGTGAACTACCGACCCTCGCTGGAGGGTCACAGGGAACTGAGAATCAAGGCGGCTACCGATATACACTAGAAGGGGCCCCCACCCTGTAATAGTTGTATAATAGGAATATAATAGGGCTAGGGCCCTAATATAATCCTTGTAGTCACTATCACAGGGTTGGGGCAGCTTCTAAGATATACACATGCTCCACCCTCGGAGCTTCAAATCTCAACGCTAAGCCTGGATCATACAGCAGAAGCGATGTAGGAGGATTCGTTGCGTCATCGCGGCACCTCGCATTAGTTCCTTGGGGGGTGAGGGGTACGCACATTTATATGCATGTATGTAATTATGTGCATATTATATATATATATATATACACACACATGTGCACGTATATACATACATACATATATATATATATATATACATATGTATATACAGCATATACATATACATCTACATTCACATCTACATTCACATATACATATACATATACATATACATATACATATACATATACATATACATACATGCAAAACACCCCGTGGGGTATGGGGCTTGGGTCTGGCCTACGCAGTCTAAGGTTCCAGTATCATTGTGATACATTGACATAGCGATGAGAGTAGATCGAGCATGAAACGGAAAGTGCGTATGCAAGCACTTCTGAAATAAGTATAGGCACCCTGTGTGCATAGCCAAATCACCGGCCCGGCCATCCAGCAGTGAGTGCTTGATGGATGCGCTGGAAGGTTTCACCATGACGATAATGATAATCACCCGATCAAGGTAACCCAACTACCGCAAGCCTCTTCAATTGATCGAATACGCACGATGTCCGCACGCGCTTAAACTCGCCGGCCACATGTCCTGCTTGGGCTGCCAGGCAGTTTCACTAAGCGTCAAGGTAAGGCAATTTAGAAGCCCGAAGACATAACACTCTTCCCCAGGGTTCCGCAATATAGATATGGCATAATATGCCGCAAAACCCTGTGCTAATTTGCATATATCACAGCACGTCAGACTGCCTACGATATTCGAGGCGGAAAGTATGCAGGAGTTTGGGTTGAGGGGTTCTTGTTTCAGTACACGTACTGCTAAAAGTCTCGGGGCGTTTTGAAGCGGAATAACAGCACCTTCATCACATACGTGTTGTCCTTCGGTGCCTAAACATCCCCAGGCTGCTGCTATCATTCGTTCTTGGTCCACAACCCTACAAGGCCGTTTAGACAAAAGAGATCCGAATATTGAAAGACGCTCACTTTCAGGATCTCAATGTCACGGACCTCCATAAGTAAGGCATCATTGATTCCACCCTCCCCAAAGCGCGCTCCTGGAATTAGGGTTTTGAATGAAGGCCCTTGCGGCTTGGGTCGGGTCTGTCACAGGGCCACGTCGGGTTTAATGTTGAGGGAGCCACGATGATGCAGGTCTGTGTTCACCAGTGGTCACTAGTACCAACAAATGACAGGCCATTGGAGTGTCCGGATACTAACAAGAGTAGTTAATATGGGATTCATCACGTACTCAACCTAAGCCCTAGAAACCCTAAACCGAGGGCTGCAGTCCTGACAGAGTCGAGTTCGGAACTCCGAATACACGCGCATCACTTGCTATCAGGCGCACTGCCGCAACAACCCGCAGGACCACTGTGCACCGCGGACGCACAGAGACTGAACAGTCAAACCGTAAGTTCTAGACTCGGAATTAGCTCAAATCACGTGGTTTCATTGGTGTTCGAGTGTGGAGGTCAGGGTTTAGAATTCTGGTCTTTGCCTGTGCGGCGATGAGGTGCGATTTTAGGGTTCAGAGTTCAGAGCTTAAAGTTTAATGTTTAGTATTAGGTAGTTTAGTTTAGAGTGCATGATGCTGCGGGCGCCAGGTTTGCAAATCCATGCTTCCTGAACGGTACTCGACTGTCCTTGGGCCATTTTTTTTGCTAATAAGCCTCGATCTGTAGCAACCACAGTCTATACTAGCTACATCAGATGCCACAACATAGAGGCGGGGGGCGATGCAGGGGCCTCGTGTTCCTGCCGCTGCGCATTCTCGTCCATGAAATGAGTGCACGAAGATTCGGGCGGTCAAAGCTGTAAGGCCAGCAGACAGACAAGGTTCCCTAACTTCGGGAGCTCAGTGCAAGAAGTGTCGTGGGAACCTGCAATGTAAACCCGAAGGCTTAAACTCTAAAGCCGGGAAGCATCGCGAGAATATGCAATGTGAACTCGAAAGCCTAAACCCTAAAACCCGCAAAACCTTCAATCCCTGAGACTCCGAAGCCAAAAGCTCTACAGTTCTAAACCTAGACCTTGCAGTCACGATCTCCATGTAGTTCACATATAAGGCCACACCTTTTGTTGAACGAAGCCTGCAAGTGTGGTCCATAGACCTCTGCCAAGTGAAAACCCTTCAGAAGCCACTTTCAGCTCATGTTTCCCCTAAACCCCTAAACCCCTAAAGCCTAAACTCTTTAGCGTAAACTTTTTCGCGTAGAGGGTCTCAGTCTGACGGGACAGAGCATAGTATAGGGGCCTTAATAATTACCTATTGGGGGGTTCCTTCTTAGAATTATAGTAACTGCCCCCAGTTCTAATTACTAAGCCCCCTATCTTACATAGGCGGTGTGTTTTGTCAGGACAGCTTCCAAGGTTTCAAAGAACGTGCCAGGTAATATAGGAGCCTAGCTAGATAATTACCTATACCATTTTGGTGGTTCGTTATTATAACTGTAGTATATGGGGCGCCAAGACCCTATTCTGACTATGAAGGCCACTGCATTACCAGTACAGGAACCCCTAGATAGTACCCTAAAGGATGCCGTCTGGTAACCCTAATCGGCCCCTTTAAAGGAAGCCTGTTCTAACTATGCAGGCCCCTATAGCAGAGTGCTGGAAGGCCTTGCCACCCGAGGGAGACGATCCAGACTCGGCGGCTGAGGCATTCAGGCAGGGTTTCGGGTTTGGGGTTTAGGCTTTTGGGTTTAGGGATTAGGGTTTAGGGTACAGGGTTAAGGGTCTGGGGTGTTGGGTTTTGGCATTAGGGTTTGGATTAGGGTCTAGGGTTAAGGGTTTTAGGATTAGGGTTCAGGGTTTAGGGACTAGGGTTCCGGGTTAAGAGTTTAAGGATGAGGGGCTCGGGTTTGGAAGGCAGGGTTCATTGTCGCACTGCATGCTTCGGATGGACGGATTGCACACTCAAGCCCATGTGAACGGGATGTATTTTGGTCGAGTTGGCCTTGTATGAGCTCCAAATGGGTGCCACCGGTTTCGCCTGCTCTTTACTTCAACTCACCCAGAACTGCAAAACCCTACAGCCCTGAACCGCACAACCCCAAACCCTAAGCCCTCAACCCTTAACCCTAATCCCTAAACCCTTAACCCTAATCCCTACACCCTAAACCCTAGACCCTAAACCATAAAGCCTAAAGCCTGTGGGCCCAGAGGTCCAGAAGCCTCCATCCCCAAAGCCCGTCAGTCAGGGGCTGGATCGTTTCGGTCGTGAAGAACACCCAGACCAGCTCCTTGATAGCAGGCTCAGAGGTGTGGAGGGCTTGCTGTTGCTGGAGAAAGCTTCTAGCCCACACTACGGAAGAGCAAGCCAAACTTCCAAGCAGAAATGTATACGGCCACTACCACCTCCACCACTGCTCTTGCTGCCGCTGCTGCTACCGCTACTACTACTACTACCACCACAACGACTACTACTACTACTGCTACTACTACTACTACTACTACTACCACTACCACTACAACTACCACTACCACTACCACTACCACTACCACTACCACTACCACTACCACTACCACTACCACTACTACTCTACTACTACTACTACTGCTGCTGCTGCTGCTACTACTACTACTACTACTACTACTGCTACTGCTCCTGCTCCTACTCCTACTGCTTTTGCACCTCTGCCTCCATCTGCAATACCATCAATGGCTTTCGCATGATCGCTTCAGTATGCTGGAGGAAGATCTCATCAGGATGCCGTAACTCGCCTCGGCTGTGCCAATGGGAAGTTCAAGCAGATTGATGATAGAAGGCATGATGATCACTGCTCATTTGCATGGAAGACACGCAACACAAGCCGTGAAGACTCTGACTATTGCAAGAAGTTAGCTTCCATCCCTGAGTCCCTTGCGACAGCTGTGCCAGTAGAACAGCCGTCAGGTAGTGCACTCAGCGAGGGGACAGCCTCTCGTCTTTGGATATTCATCGACTGCTCCCCCTGTAGAAGCAGCTTGCATGCTTCTGATTATTTGGTATCAGAGGTCACCTACTTGTAGACTCTTGTCCGACATGCCCAGTCTTCGAACCGAGGTATCGTGGAATCGCTTGTGTTCTGTCGCAGTGAAGCATTGCTGAATTCATGTTCCCCTCGGTGGTGTTGCATTTTCCCACAACCTACCTTTGGTTAGTAGGGAAAGGAAGAATGGTAGTAATAGTAGTCATATTGTACCCCATTCCTCCATTCCCTACGAACCAGAGAATGGCGGACAAAGCAGGCCCGCGCGAAAAGCAATCAACTCCGGAGTGCCGAGAACGCTCCCCAAAAACCCGGCCACTGAAGCGCCAGAGTCCGAGCACTCCATGGTGTACAGTTAGCACACCAAAACCCAACTTTTTTTTGTAGGTTCTTATTGTAAACCCTTAACATGGGAAGGTCTAGGAACCCGACAAAAAAGGTAGGTTTCTGGTGGGTTAAGCTAGAACCTTTTGCACGAGTCGTCGGGGGTCAAGTTGCTCTACCTGGGTAGTTCTCTAAGTTTGGATCCCTTCTAGAGTCTTTCTGTAAGGGTGCCGTTTTGTTTTTGGACTTAAAACGGGGCACTACTGTAGAAAACTACGGATTAACGTTCTTGTTCAGGGTCTATCGTACGCTGCTCTGGGGAGTCAAGTATTCTTTATTGCTGCTGCCAGTGGTTCTTGCTGCTAGTACCACCAGTACCGTCGGAGTTGCTCTGTTCGTATACCCGCAACCCTAAACTTCTTAAGATCCTAAACCCCTTAAGGGCCCTTAGGTCTATTTCCAGATATGACCCTGAAATGAGAGCACTGGTGCGCTCAGATCAGGTTCGCTTTGCCTGCCGTCCCGAACATAACTCAACACATATTGTAGTTGCCCAAAACTCGCAAAGAAGAAAGCAGAGGAAGATTACTCAACTCAGGTACAGCATAGGGGAATTGCCCGACACGGCTTAAATTTAGGATGGAATGTAGTAGGGGTCTCAACAGCTAGTGGTAATATGTTTTATAGATCCCAATACATCTCCAGTATGATGGCCATCAACTTGTGGATTCCCATTTCAAAAATGAAGGTCCTTGCTTGAGGTGGAAGCCTTTGCTCGGGATGTAGGATGTAGGACCGATGAAGAAGTCGCAGCTTCCAGCGCAAGACTTTGATACTACCTATAGTCTCCATTGTAGTTCCTTTTTGGGGTTACCTTATAGGATCCTTAATATGTATTTGGTTAAACCAAGAAAAGGAACTACAATGGAGACTATAGGTAATATAGGAGCCCACGTCATTAGAGTACGGCCCCCCGCAAGTTCAAAGCTCGTACTCGGAGAAGAAGTGGGCTTCTAATGTGGCAGCCCGAATAATTGCCCTGACTGTTCCATGGGGCTCCTTGTTATTATTTCTACACTGTAAGCATGGACCTCCTTTTCTAGTTGTTGAGGCCTGTAGATGAACCTATCGAAGGCATGAACCTAAACTCCCAAGATGCAGTGGAGTTCCGGCTCAGGCGAAGCTGGTGCTGCTGCTTGGCACCGGCACAGCATGCTTCCGGACCAAACCATGCAGCAATGATAAACGGAGCATGTGTATTGCGCTTCCATATATATATATATATACACACACACACACACACACACGCAGACGGACGGAGGGACACACAAGCAAGCAAAACAAGAAAAGCATAACAACTCAAGTGTGTGCGTGTATGTGCGCAATTCCCCCACACAAGCACACACACGCACACAGACACACACACACACACAGACAGACACACACACACACAGCCAGACACACACACACCCACACCCACACCCACACCCACACCCACACCCACACCCACACCCACACCCACACCCACACCCACACCCACACCCACACCCACACCCACACCCACACCCACACCCACACCACACCACACCACACCACACCACATACACACACACACACACACACACGCGCGCACACACACACATACATATATGCAGTTATATATACATATATGTATTGCACACATTTCCGCATGCATACATGCTTGTGTTTCGGTGTATCGGTGTACGTATGTATGTATGTACGCATGTGTGTATGTAGGTATCTATGTAGGCGTATGTATGTATGTATGTATGTATGTATGTATGTAGTTACCTGTGTATCTATCTATCTATGTACGTGCGTATGTATGTATTTATGTATGTATGTATGTATGTAAGTATGTTCACATGGATACATACGTACATATACACATGCATGCATGCATGCATGCATGCATACAGGTGTGTGTGCGTGTGTGGCGACATGTGAGTTTTCAGTGCAAGCCTAGATTCGTGTCAGAGGTGTTGCTTGTAGACGTACAGTACGTCTTGTTGTACACATAATATGTTTGAACACGATTTTGTGCTTAATCTGCCGAGTTCCTTGGTTATTGTCTTTGGTGTCTAGTTGTCTACTTCTACTTGCTGCCTTTGTGGTTTCATTCGCTGTCAGTTCCTGGTCTTTGCTGCTGTTTATTATATCTTGGTTTGCTTGCTTCTACGAGCACATGGGAGCCTTACTTGTGACCTGAGTTGTGGTGACATTGTAAACGATGGCAGCATCAATATGGCATGGTCACGTTTCACGGCATTTTCCTGAACGATCGTCTGGTATGTCTACGCTGCTGGTCTTGATGATGATGCTGATTGTGGCGAAGAAGATGCTGACTGTGATGAGGATGATTTAATGACGACGACGATGATGCCCATGTGCGTGCTTTGTACAGCTGTTGAAGTTTGTACCAGTATTAGCTTGAGTGGCATCGCGTGCAGCCGAATATTGGCAGTGTGTTGGGCTTCATGCCTTGACGGACACCTTAAACAAGTCCTGAAAGCTGAGGTTTCGACCGCATGGCCGTCTTGCAACTGTGCGAAGCGACTCTTGCTAGCACCTCATAGGGTTTAGGGTTTAGGGGTTTAGGGTTTAGGGGGTTTGAATCCTACGCGCGTATCTCTGGTGTCGTGTTATGACCCACCACGACGGACCTTGCGTGCACCTGCCGAGCCTCAAGCTGCAGGGCCTAAAGCAGGAGCATGAGCTCTGCAGCTTAAGCTTCAAGAAGATATGCGAGTTTCCGAAAATAAGGGGCCTTCATATTAGTACCCTATATAAATAGTAGGATCCTGATCCTTACTATCAGGACCCCATAATGAGGTACCCCAAATCTTCGGAAACTCCCATATGAAACCATGAAGGCCCAGCAGCGACCTCCACGTCCGACAACGGATGCCTGCTTGTTGCAACTGAAGCTGAGAAGCCTATATCCTAAATTCATTATGTGTAGAACGTAGGCAATCAAGGAGTAACGATCAGCTACGCTGCTACTATGCAATGAAGGAACTTGAATTTAGTTGCCATGGTGGGATATGTAGTAAAGAATATGGTTTGCTGCGCATGGTAAAGTATACTTTAGGTCTTTAGGTTCCCAAAACAGAATCCTAGTAGACTTGTTTGTGTTCAGGATTGGGTTGCATAGCCAGGTTGCAATATATACGTAGGGCGTCTACGTTTCATGTCGTCTGTTGGGGCCGCAAACAACTGTTGACATTTTCTTCTTGGCCCTGTCTCCGACCCTAAATCTCGATCGTGCTGGCGAGCACGGCAACGACACTAAAACTAACCCCTCAGCCCTGAAGCCCAGATTCAGAAACTGTAGCTGTAAGATCCGAAGCCAGCAACTGATGCTCCTAACGGGGCTTAAGCTGATACATGCCATTACACGCCACATAGACAGCATGCTGAGTCTGTCGCAGGTAGTCAGTACTGCAGAATGTTTGTCAGCACCAGACGCACTGTGCTGATAGCATGCGTATATGTTGTTTCAGATCCGCTGGAATCAGGAGCAAGAGCACAAGCACCTCTATGATTTCAACAGCACCAGCCGCAAGACTAGTAGTATCAACGAAATAGACACCATGGACATAGGCATCACGGGTGATCACAAGGGTCGTAACACCCCCAACCCTTAAACTTAGCCCTAAAAGGCCTTACCCTACACCGAACGCACATCCCCAGCTTTAGTCTCCCCAGGATTCGCGACGTATCGCGGAAGCGCCTTCTTGTCAAGTACGTTCGCTACCAGGAAGCGATGCAAGCAGAAACTTTGGGGGTTTAGGGTTTTAGGTCTGGGGTTCAGTATGTTAGGGTTTTTCGGGTTTAGGGCCTGGGGTTCGGTTTGCAGTTTTGGGTTTGAGGTCAGGGCTTACGCACTTTAGGGTGAGTAGCAGTTGATTGAAGGGCCGAAAAAGGACAAAGATAACACTCGCCTCTGGGGTTTCGTAGGCTATATGGGTATGGGTTGAGGGTTCACCGTCCGAGACGGATAAATCGCGCATCTTCAAGGGCCGCAGTATCAAGACACTCAGTATAATCTTGAAACAGAGCGGGAATGCATGAGTCGAAAGTCTGCATACGCATTTCGGGCCAGTGACCAGTGTGTGCGACTGCGGTTCTACGGCTTTAGCTTTAAAGCAGTGGCTCCAAGAAGTAGTCCTGCATTCCATTTCGTTCCTGGTTATGACGGTGGTAAGAAAGACCCCAATACACCCGATTCTGACCAGCAAGGCCCCTGCACTGGGCTTTTGGGGCTGGAGGGCCGAAGGTTGCTGCGATCGGTGCAGCAGTTCATGCAATTGGAGTGCTACGGTTGATGATATAAATCCTGCATGACCTTAATGACCCTAAACTATGGGATTTACTGTATATTCCTTATTATGGGTAATGCAGGATTTATATCATCAACCGTAGTAGTCTATATCAATATCTGCAGACGAAGCGTCGGGTTCAGGGTTCAGGGACTCCGTCCAAGGAACGAGCGCTGTGCCCGCAGTGTTTTGGAAGCTTTCATGTGTGTAATATGTGTATATGTGTATATATATATATATATATGCACATACATAGAGAGAGAGAGAGAGAGAGTTTCACATAAACCTAGTGCACTTGCTGTTTGTGCGTATACATATAAAACTGTGTATATATATATACATATATGTATATATATATATATATATATATATATATATATTCATATACATGTATAGGAATGCATGTATAATATATGCGCATGTGCGTATACACACAAATTTACGAGGGTTTTTCTGATGTGGGGTCTTTCTCCACGGCCATGATCTTCTTTTCTTCCTGTCAAGACCTCCCGGCCAAGCCCCACAGCCATAAAAGATAACACACTTCTGGGCTTGTTTAGGAACGCTTAAAGCGCCACAAACCCTAAGCCCTAAACTATAAACCTTAAGAGTAAGCCCTGGACAATAAGCCCAAACAATACACCCTAAACTGTAAACCTTAACGGTACACCCTAAAGCCCTAAACTGTAAGCCTAAACAATATCAAACCCTAAACTAAAAACCCTAAAACCCTACCCTAGGGATCAAACTAGCCCAAAAGCCTTACATAGTATTGTCTTTGGGCCCAAAAGACTTAATATGTGAGTCCTTAGATCCCTAGGGCTACACCCTAGAGCCCTGGAAGCTGCGATGTCAGGAGCTTCGGAGGAGCAGTTTCAATGCAGATGAGGCCCAGGGCCTCTCCGAGCAGGCCCAACAGTGAACCCAGGTGTAGGGTCTTGGGGTTTTGGGCTTAGGGTTCATACTGTTGATGGACAAAATCCTGCATGAGCCTAAGGACCCTAAACTATGGGAACTAGAGTATATTCCTTCCAATGGGTAATGCAGGATTTTGTCCATCAGCCGTACCCAAAGGGTCCAAAGTACCTATGTAGTAGAATGTAGGGTTTCGTGAAATCGGGGCTTCGGGAGTCGCGAGTCTTCAGTTTACGTAGGGTCTTGGGGTTCGGGGTATAGGGCTTTGGGGCTCATGGGCTTTAGGGTCTAGGTTTAGGGTACAGGCTGGGTATAGGGGTTTAGGTTTAGGGTTTTTGGGGCTAGGTTGAGGGTTTTGGTTTGAGGCTCGCAGGGCTTACGGCGTACGGCTGATAGGGTTTACAGTTGATCAGTATCCTCATAATCTTGAGGTACAGCATGAAGGATCCTAGCACTAATCAGCCCCAATCCATGTTCCAGCTTTTTTGGAAGCATCGGGTGTTTATATATGTCTTAGAGGTTGTTTTCGGTTTATGCAAGTGTTCAGGGGTGGGTTTGGGGTTTCGGTTCTGAAATTATCCTGTGGTTGCAGGGCCCTTACACAGGTGATCCAGTGGGTCTAAAGAGGGTTTATTGTGTACTACAGACAGGTTTTCTTTCTTGATATTTGGGGTTGAGGGTTCAGGGCTTTTAGGTTCAGGGTTTGTTGGTTTAGTTTTGCGTGCTTGCTGCTTTTGGCGGCAGGTTTGTCTGGGTTCTGATTGCACGACGGCTATCCCAACAACTGCATACTTTGCCGAGCGGGTTGCCAACCTAGGAAAACCCAAACAGATCCTTTCATGGATAAACAGTCCTTGTGCTTCAAATCCTAGCTTACAGTTTAGGGTTAAGTCATTTATAAAACTTGATCCCTAAACCCAAAACCACTTGCATCCAGAGTGATCATACCGGAAGCCGGCACTTGAATCGCCTCGTCGGATGTGCTGTGCAAGAGCTCGTGCTCAGATGAGGCCTTGTTGCGGTTTTAAGTTCGGAGTTTAGGTCGTAGGGTTTGGGGTTTAGGGTTTAGGGTTTAGGGTTTAGGGGTTTAAGGGTTTAGGGTTTAGGGTTTAGGGGTTTAAGGGTTTAGGGTTTAGGGTTTGGGGGTCAGACGGATGTGTGGGCGAAATTTCATTCACGCGTCTGTCACGGCCAACCCCTTCTAGGGTGCGGCGTTTGTAGGGAGAAGTTTGCCCAAAGGATCCTAGGTATTGTTATGGGGGATACTTCCCCAAAACATAATCGACATCCTTTATATAGAAACCCTACATTCTACTATATAGGTACTTTGGAGCCCTTTGGGTTGATGAAGTTTGAGCATGACAGCCCTGGGACCTCGAATTGTGGAGTATCAATCACAGACCCTGAAGATCTAATCACCCACCACCCTAAATATATCCAATCCGTACTGGAGCAGCTCCACGATTGTCGTATGCTCGGCCGTAAGAGCATGTTTTAAATCCTTCAGATTCGAAATCCTTCATCTCTGGTAGCCTTCCCGCACCCTAAACCCTAGACCCCAGCAAGTTGGTGTGACCAGGCCGATGACCTGCTGGCACACAATGCCTGGACAGATGCGCCCTACTACTTCTTCAAGCCGCTGAGTGGAAGCATATGGGTTCTGTTCTGCTGGTATTTATGAAAGTTTATGCGTGTTTCAGGGAAACCTAACATGTCAAGTCCAGGGGGACGTTGAAATAGGTGCTCATCATACTGAGGAAAGGGCTTGCAAGAAAAGGGCTCCGGTTCGCCAGGTAGACTCCATGTGACCTCGACAAAGGCTTTGCCTCTTGAAGAGACTGAAGAATTAGGCTCTTGGGGAATATTCCTTAGTTGACCCTAATGTACCCCCTGAAGTATGCACTGAGGTCCACATGGAGGTTCGTACACAGGTACGTTCCAGCCACCGTATAAACCGAAAGGGGGGACTGGTGGCATGCCTGTCCATGAGATTGACTGTGCCTCAAACCTTAAACCCTAAACCCTAAACCCCTAAACCCCTAAACCCTAAACCCTAAACTTCCTTAAACCTTAAACCCTAAACCCCTAAACCCTTCGAGGCGAGCTGAAAACGGCTTCTTGGCCTTCCGCGACTGATCACGCAGTCCGTGCGGAAAGAGCTTGAGCCGGTCACCAGGGCCGTGACTTTCCGGTTTACCCATAGGCCCCATGGTAGTTCCTTTTTGGGGTTCATATTTAGAATCCTATAGGGTATTCCCCAAAAGGAGCTACTATGGCGCCGATGGGTTTAGGCTTGAGGGTTCGGGCTCAGCTGTTAGGGGTTTTTGGAGGCCCAGGGGACTTGGTAAGTAGGTTATAAGTAGGGTTATAAGTACCTTAAATGGAGTTACCCCAATTATGACCCTACTTATAACCTACTTACTAAGCCCCCTGGGCCTCTAAGTAGGCTTTAGCGGATCGGTTCAGATATGTCCTGGTGTCCTCTGTGCAAGCTGCAGGCCCTTTGCATGTAACATGATCCGGAGTGGAGGTTGGTGTAGTTGGCCTGTAGCTTCTGCCCAAATCCCTGAGCCTGAGCTAGCATTCTTCTTCCCCTGCAGACAGCCACCTCAGTACTATGTGTGTTTCAATACTATATGATATATGTTCTGATCTTTGTCGAGAGAGTTATAGTAAGCATACCAGAGCGTAAGCATAATAAATATCATAACAGCGCTCATAGGAACACTTCTACCGGTTCGTGTACCCTTCCAGATTCAGTCTGCAGGTGTATGGACTTTCCCCTCTTTTGCGGAGTTCACCGGTTTCCACTTGTTCCCTGTGAAACATCACACCGACCTAAACCCTAAACCCTGGTCCCTGCCTGGCCACGCCATGCTGCGCGTCTGGGCAGCTTCTGGTGCGGAGCTGGCCGCAGTGACAGAAGAAGAACTGTGTGACGCACGAAGCCTGACACTTTGCACATTTCGGGTTTGGGGTTTAACATAGGGGCCGCAATAATTACCAGTACCATTTTTGGGGAGCTTGAACCTTGACAGTTCGTTCTGGACCACATGGGCTCCACGTGCGAGTCTGAATGCTTCCCCCACCGAAAATTCCTGTACTCAGCACGAGAAGTAATGATATAGGTGTTTAGGAGATATAGGGTTACTACAACCGGGTTTACTTACTACGAGGGCGATGATGTTCGAGTTACTGGAACACTGCCGCGGCAGGATTTCCAACACTATGTTAGGATTATTACAATAGGGATTCTAGGATGCCCAGTAGTACCCTTATTCCCTTTTTCGTAGTCCTAGGTTGCTTATAAACTTACCCAACACCAGAAAGGGAGCCATTTTATTCCTAGGTTACTGGGCATCCTAGGATGATATAGAAGGGTAGGTACAAAACGGGTTTAGAATGGATCCCTGCGCAGGCTCTAAGCTCCGGAAGCCGCGATGCTTCGAAGGGAAGCTCTAAGTCATGGAGCGATTTGGGAGTTTCCGAAAATTGGGGATACCTTATCTTGGGGTCCTTATGATAAGGATCCTACTATTTAGGGTACTATACTAATACTAGGGTCCCCTATTTTCGGACCAAGGCCAATTTGAGACAACAAGAGACCCGAAACGGTATTAGTGTGTAGGGGCCCTAGCATTGACCTTGGATGATCTAGCATCCAGTATTTAGGGTTTAGGGTCTAACGAAGCATTAGTAGAACCAGCCCTTGAACAGAAAACACGAATCTAACGGAGCTTCCACATGTTGCTCAGGAAGGAATCTTTGCAGCCAGTCTGCGGCGTCACCCGCTTTAGGCAGCGGCTGCTGCACAACGAGCGCCATGTGGAAGATGATGCCAGGCTGCCCCGCGGAACTTCTAAGCAGCCATCTTCAAATCCCCCAAAGCTGTTGGGAGTGTGGGTCCCCCGCAACCCCGAAAGCCCGTAACCCCCACCCCACCAAGCAATTGAGAGAACCCCGTAGACACCCTTGAGCTCTTCCGCCGTCCGACACAATAATAACAATAATAACAATATATTAATATAAATATATTAATATTAGTAATAATATTAACAAGAAATAATATAAAAAACATATAAGAAGTGGAATACAAACACGATCTTTCGACCCCCCTTCTACCCAACAACAAACATGAAAGCCTGCCGGGGCTAGTAAATTACAAGAACCCCAAACCCTGGAACACCCTAGCCCCTAAAGCCTTTTTCCCCAAGAGCCACGAAGCCTTATCCCTAAAGATCCTTAGTAGCATTTCCACCTCATAGTCCCCAATCTAAGCATGTTCAAAGAGCCCTTTTCGAATCAGTCAGGGCCCCCCACCTAAACCCTAAGCCCTATAAACGGAGGCTCGATGGTCCCATGGAGCTTCAGCTGATCTTACTGCCGTTTATTGAGGCATCCCAGGAGCACCGTCGGTTGCAGTCCAGGGCTGAGGATGCAGGTTTTACCTTAACCCTGAATAACCTACCTTTTTAGGGTTCCTTATTCTGATTTCCTTATATAAGTCCTTGAAAAGGTATATTATTTGGGATTAAGGTAGGGTTTCAGGTTCTAGAGGGGTTCTACTTCTAGCGCTTCTATCCTAGGGTTTCTGGAGTGCTTTTATTGTAGGGGTTCCATAGGAGCACAGCAGGGTTTTGTAAGGGTTCTTGATTTGTGCGGCTTGAAGTTCCTTCGTTTAGGGTTTAGGTCTGGGCAGGTGAGTCTTTCTATTTAATCTGGCAAGGCGAGTGAGTGCAAGGTTTCTTGATTTGAGTGCCATTGCTTGGTTCCACACGAGCCGCTTTGATGTTGTAGGTTCAGGAACCCCCGAAACCCTAAATCAAAACCCCTCAACCCCTAAGCCCTAAGCCAAGCCAGGCAGGGTTCGATGACAGTGGGGCCAATCTGCTCAGGTCCACTACTATAGGGGCCTAAAGAACTACCAATACTATTTTGGAGGTTTCTTATTCTAAATAGTATAACGTGCCCCCAAACCCTACTCTAATTATTAAGGCCCGTATATTAGGTATGCCAACCAAAAGTCAAGTCTAGGAGTTTGGCTTTGGAGCAGTGGACACCGTCACATGAATACTTGCTGCTGATTTCTAACTGCTGCCAGAAGAGCCTTAACCCTGAAACCTGAAGCCTAGACATAGGCCCCATAGTAGTTCCTTTTGTGGGATTACCTTATAGAATTCTAAACATGAACCCCAAAAAGGAATTACTATGGGGCCTGTGGGTGGACATAGGTCGCTGCATGGTTTTGTAACCAGGATCCAAGGGTAAAAGGAGGGACCCTTAATTAGGACCCCTAGGCATATACCCTTAATATAGCCATTTTATACCCATTATATAGCCCATTATAGGGTCCCAGGGGTCCCCATTAAGGGTCCCTCCTTCTCCCCTAAACCCTAAACCCTTATAGATCCCTTTAAAGGAACCCTAGGAGCCCTGAACTAAGGGTGCCTCCTTCTCCCCTTTGACAGGAGCGGGTCGCAGAGCTCTTATCTGCCGCAGCATCGGGTGATCTCTCCCAGGTGGAGGAGATGTTGCAGGTGACTGGACCGCCTGGATTTAGGCTTTAGAGACGTAGGGTTTAGGGTTTAGAGACTGAAAGGTTTAGGCTTTAGAGACTTAGGGTTTAGGGTTTAGAGACTTTGGGTTTAGGCTTTAGAAACTTTGGGTTTACTGTTTAGGGCTTTGTTTAGGGACTGTATTCTGTATGCTCAGGCCCTTGCGCAGAAGACTTTGATCAAGTATTGGTTTCGGATCCCTGTATACATAGGCCTCCGAAAAAGCAGAACCTCCCAACCGCCCCCCCCCCGCCCCCGCCTACCCTACCCCGCCTCAACTACACCGAGTTCTAGGCCTAGGGATCCTAGGACTCATATATTAAGGCTTTGGGCCCAAAGACCATACTATATAAAGGCTTCTGGGCGATTTTGATCCCTAGGGTGGGCAGGGTGTGAAAATCGGTCCTCGGGTTCCCAGCAGCGGCCCGAGATGTTCTGAATCAGGGGTTTGGGGATTTATAGGGGTTCAGAGGTTTAGGGTGTAGGGGTTTAGGGGTTTGGGGTTTAGGGGTTTAGGGTTCAGGGTTTAGGGGTTTAGGGTTTAGCGGTTTGTGGTTTAGGGGTTTAGGATTTAGGGGTTTAGGGTTTATACGGGTTTAGGGTTTAGGGGTTTAGGGTTTGGGTTTCAGGGCTTTTGCTTGTCATCGAGGAGGGCTTCCCAAATAGGTGGCCAAGCTAGCATGTCGGGGGAATTGCTCTAAAGCCAAGGCCTCTTTGCTTGATCTAGCCATGACGAAGTTCAAGAACGTTGCATTGTAGTCAAAAGACTCTATGCTGAGGGCTCCTTTAAGGCCTCCTTTAAGGGATCCTTGAAAGTTTCAAAGTGCATTGATCAGTTGGAATTCAAGCACCGCTGGAAAGGCGCCACTGGATCCTAACGTAGCTGGACGCGATGATCAGACACCCTTGAGGCTCGGCTCGCACGAGACATGTGTGTGTGTGTGTGTGTGTCTGTGTGTTTGTGTGTCTGTGTGTCTGTGTGTCTGTGTGTCTGTGTGTCTGTGTGTCTGTGTGTGTGTTTCGCCTCTATTCTCAGGGCTACTAGGAGGTAGTTGGGGAAGTTATAGTTGGGGTTATAAGCCCCTACATATGGGTTATAAGTACCTAAGTACCTACTTATAACCCTACTCCTAACCACCCATGAACCTCAGAGTAGAACTGCGAAAAGCACCACAGACCCCGGTTTTTCAGCCCAGGATGGTAGCAGCGTCGCATGGCCATGATGAGACTGTCCGGCTGCTTCTTGATGCTGGGGCTGACAAGGACTCCCTGGTGATTAGTAGGGAATGGGGGAATGGATCCCTTTGAGTATCCTTTAAGGGGATCTATAGGGTTTAGGGGTTAGGGAATGGGGGAATGGATCCCTTTGAGTATCCTTTAAGGGGATCCATAGGGTTTAGGGGTTAGGGAATGGGGGAATGGATCCCTATATAATCCCCAATCATAGTCCCCATAACCCATTCCCGCATTCCCGACTAAGAACCAGACAGAGGATCAGTGCGACGGTAGCCGGGAGGTGCCCCTCCATGCGGCCTCGCGCAGTGGCCATGCCGACGTCGTGCGCTTGCTCTTGGAAGCCCGTGCAGCTACGGAGCGGCAAAGTTCTCATGCCACGCCCCTTCTGCTGGCGTGCTCGGAAGGCCACCTCAATGTTGCAAAGCTACTCTTGGAGGCTGGTGCTGACTTGGAGTTGGGGAACAGCAGTGGAAGTGCACCTCTTCACGCTGCAGCAGCCTCTGGGCACACAGAAGTCGTCGGCTTGCTGCTTGAAGCTGGTGCCGACCGAAACCCCGAAGATCCATATGGAGGCACTCCACTTCTGCTAGCTTGTGTGAATGGCCATCTGGACGTGGTTCGCTTGCTTTTGGAGGCACGTGCAGATAAGGATCAGGGCAACAGCTGTGGGGACGCGCCGCTTCATGTAGCGGCGTACTCTGGCCATGTCAGGCTTGTGCAACTGCTCTTGGATGCCAGAGCCGATAAGAACTTCGGCCTATCATCTTGAAGGGCAAAGGTTGAGGGTTTGGGGGGCCGAAAATTTGTCGGTATTCCTTGAGTTGACTTTGCTTCCACACCGCCCAAAAGATTCTCCCAGCTTCAGTTCAACTCGAACCAGACCAGGTACTGCAATATAGGGAGCCTAAATATTTACCAATACGATTTTGGGGGTTCCTTATTAGAGGTATAGCATAATGGGCCCCAAAAGCATATTGTAATTTTTAAGGCCCCTGATTACACTGCTTCTTCCAATGCTTCCCTGACCTAGGAATCAGACGAGCGGCTTTGACATGGAGACACCGCTTCATGCAGCTACAGAGGCAAACCATGCAGAAATCGTGCGCCTGCTTCTGAATGCCGGTGCAGACAAGCACCGAGCCTCCGGGACTCCATCTGAAACGCCTCTGGAAGTGGCGCAACAGCGGAATCTTGTGGAGATTGTCCACCTTCTGCAAGATGCGAGCAAGGCTGAACTCCGAGTTGGCGTGCGAAAGCGTGGATGCTGTTCTTGCCTTCGGAGACTGGGCTTTGGAGTACCATACTTTAATACTGTCTTGGGGACCTGCTACCTAAGGGGAGCCATTATGAAGTAAAAGTCTATAATTTTCTCTACCCTTAACCCTAAACCCTAAACCTAAACCGTCACTTCAAAGCCCAGGAGATCCCGGAGAAGAGACGCACCTCGGGCCGAAGCGTGGGCCGACCTAGTGAGGTGGCCCGCTGTTCACCTCCAGGATGCTGCATAGGATTGATGATATAACTCCTGTGGGGTCCCTTTAAAGGAATTTATGCGGGTACCTTTAAGGGGCTCCTTTAAGGCATCTATAGGGATTTAGGGTTTAGGGTTGACGATATAACTCCGCATTACCTTAATGACCCTAGACTGTGGGAATTTATGGTACATTCCTTATTGTGGGTACGGGAATTATGATAGGGAATTTATGGTACATTCCTTATTGTGGGTACGGGAATTATGATAGGAATTTATGGTACATTCCTTATTGTGGGTACGGGAATTATGATAGGGAATGATGGTATATTGCTTATTGCGGTACTGCAGGATCTATATTATCATCAACCATAGGTCCGCCATCGTCCCAAGGGCTCCGCTGCCTGATTTCAGAACAAGCTGCTGAGTTTGGGACAAAGCCGCAGGCGAGTAGGTATGTTGGGTATGAGTCCGAAAATGGCGGTTTCAAAGTACTTAGAACAGGTTGGAAGGGGTTGTATGTTCCAGCATAGGCATAAACATATTCCATATATATATATATATATATATATATCATATAGAGATAGGAACTATAAGGAATACGACTACTTTCTATTCAGCCCCCTATAGAAGAATCCTCTCTTGGATCAAGACTTCTTTGTCGATCCTCAGAGTTCCTTCTGCCCAGGGGTCTAGGGGTAGGGTTTAGGGTTTAGGGGGGAGGGCCCTGCTAAGCCCAACCTAAGCCCAAAGCTATAAATCTGAACCCTAAACCCTAAAAGCCCTAAACCGCAAAAGCCCTAAGCCTTAAAACCGTGAAGCCTAAACCCCTAAAGCCCTAAAGCCCCAAAGCCTAAACCCCTAAAGCCCTAAAACCCCAAAGCCTAAAGCTCTGAACCCGAAAACCCTAAAGCCCTAAACCCTAAAACCCTAAAGCCTAAAGCCCTAAACCCTAACACCCTAAAGCCCTAAACCCTAAAAGCCTAAAGCCTGAAGCCCTATACCCTAAAACCCTAAAGCTTAAAGCCCCAAAGCCAAAAACCCTAAAGCCCCCAAACCCTGAACCCCTGCGTTTCGGGGAGTGGGGTGAGCCGTAGTCCTTCAACTTCAGAGTTTTCGGTACATCTTCCAAGCACCGTGCGTAAATGCGTGAATAAGCAAATATAGAAGCAAATATAGGACTGTACATACGTGCATATGTGTGTATACATAGAATATCATAAACTAGATAGATAAACAGTCTAAACAAACAACGAAACAGAGATATGGATGTATATATGCATGCATGCATGCAGGATGGAAGGATGGAAGAATGGAAGGACGGAACGAAGGATGGGCGGATGGATGGATGTGTATATGCACATATTTGCCAACCCAGCTAGATGATGTATGGCACGCAACACTCGATCCCAAGCCCTAAGGATCAGGTCTCGTGGTTTCCGGGTTGAGGGTTTAGGGTTTGCGTTTAGGATTTGGGGTTTCGGGTCGACGGTTTGGGGTTGAGGGTCTAGGGTTTAGGGTGTTGAGGATTTGGGGTTGAGGGTTTAGGGTCTGAGTCACGAGCTCCTCGGATCGCTGGCGGGGGGGAGAGAGTGGTCATTCTGGGTAAAAGCTTGTATACACACAGTTTATGCCAAGAAAAACCGCTAAAACCCTGTATATGCACCGTTTATACCGACAAAAACCGCTAAGAGTCTTATCTAAAGCCTCGTTAAAGCCCCTCGAAAGACTACATAGTTCTAAAGCCCTCTTCGATGATGTCCTCGTCCGGTGGTTAGAGAGCCTAAACCCTAAACTGCATAGCGAGTGCGTGCTAACGAGCTGCGGAGATGCTCAAGCACTGCTAGCCGCTGCCAGCCTTTTCCCGTAGCAATGCCCTCAAGACCAGCACCGAAAAAACTTTGGCTTGAAGCTCGGCCCCGTCTTTTTTCCTCAGCAGGTCAGTCATGGAACCAAGACAGTAGCCTTGAGCACTTGCAGTGTGGATAATATTCGGGCCTAAATAATTACCTATACTATTTTGCGGGGTTCCTTATAATAGTTATAGTATATTGGGCCCCAAAACCCTATTCTAATTACTAAGGCCCCTGTACTAACACTAAACCCTGCAACGAACTCTCCACCTCACAGAAAGAAAGGGCCCCAAAACCTTATTCTAATTATTAAGGCCCCTGTACTAAATCCTTATAATAGCCCTTCTTGTAGCCCTTATAGACCCCTTTAAAGGAACCCTATTCTAATTATTGTGGATAATGGCACCCATGCAGCGCCGCAACCAGCGCAGTTTCGCCGGACTCTTGGTTTCGGTGTTCAGGTTTCTGGGGTTTGGGTGCATGCAAAGCCCTTGGGATCAACATATCCCAAAAGCCTTATATAGTATGGTCTTGGGGCCCAAAAGCCTTAATATATGAGTCCTTGGATCCCTAGGGAACTAGCTGGACTGAAGTCTCAGTTTCTTTCGTTTGTGTCTCCTTGGTTATTCTTCCATAACATCTGTAGAAGTTATAGTTTTTCAATGCAAGTACCATGCCCACTCATGTCAGCAGCTTTCGGGTGCTTTTAGCATGCTTTCACACAAGCGCCGGCATTGTCAGCATGTCGTTTATGATGATGGTGATGACGATCATGATGATGATGATGATGGTGAAGACGATGTCGACATGATGATGGTGATGATGATGAGGAGGAGGAGGAGGAGGAGTTGGAATGATGCTGAGAGCAGAGGGTTCAGGCTTAAGTCTAGGATCATGAAAACTTTTATGGCAAGAGCAAGGATGAAGATGAGCGTGGACCCGTGGCTGAGGATGAGGGTGATACTATGACAAAATCAGTGGCCAGCGCTGCGGATATTGTCATGCTGTACGTCGCAACCCTTGGAATATGTCGTGTTCTTGCCACTTATACGTCTCATTCGAGCCGCTTGTAATTTTCATCGCTGGCACTAAGCCGTTGTTTCCACCACCACCACCATGACAGCTTCCAGAGCTGTTGCGGCCACTGGTAATATCATGCCCCCCCAATTGTAAGACACTTTAATGCTGTTGCAATGCTGCTAGTGTTGCCAGAATCACGTGCATGTCTTGTGTCTTCCGTGTTGTCCATTAGACGAAAATCCCCAAATCTTAATCCAGCTCATGTTGGGGATCCTACTATAATAAGATACATGCCCTAATCAAGGGATATTGGACGGTCCAAATGCGCTCAAAGCCGAAATGCCAAGCTCCTGTTATGGCCCCGAGACCGAGACCACCAGACTTGACGTATTGAGCCTTTCATTGAAAGGTTTGGGACCAGGGCTTTGGGCTTAGGGGCTTAGAGCCGTTAGAGTCACTTTAGAGCCCTTCATTGAAAGGTTTGGGACGAGGACTATCCCCAAGGGTCCAAAGGACCCGATAATTGGGTACTCGTACTTGGTTTTCGGATAGTAGTTGTGTAGGTTAAGATTTCGGAGAGTACATGATTATTAGGCGCTTGAAATCTTGGGGTATGGGTTGAGGGGCTTAGAGCCTTTAGGGGTTTAGGGTATTGTGGTACGTCGAACTGGGCCTTGGGTGTCGCATAGGAGGCCTTGGGTCGGGGGCTCGCAGTGTTGCTTTACCCAAAGGGTCCTACTTGGAGGTTCATGGGTAGTTATAAGTGGGGTTATAAGTATGGTAACTATATTTATGACTCATACATAGGGACTTATAACCCTACTTCTAACTACCCATGAAACTCCAAGTAGGTATGGTTATGGGGGGATACTTCCCCAAATCATAAACCTAATTCCTTATATAGAGACCCTGCATTCTACTATATACTGTAGGTGCTTTGGACCCTTTGGGTTAGGGCTGACTGCCGCTTGACTTCGTACGGTGAACTCTCACACCCCAAACCTCCTAACCCAAAGACCGCAACCCTAAACCACAGAATCCCCAAAATCCCATACCTTCATACCTTAAAGCCTACATCCTGAACCACAAAATCTCCGAACAAAAACAAGCCTTTAGACCTCAGAAGCCAACACCAGACCTCGAACTCCCAAAACCAAAAACATGACTTACTTACAGGATCATGGGAAGTTGAAAGTAGGGTTATAAGTGGGGTAACTATACTTGTAGCCCCACTTAAGGTACTTATAGCCTTACTTACTACGTCCCATGATCCTCCAAGTAGTACCCTAAACGTTAAACCCTATAGATCCCTTTAAAGAACCCTATAGATCCCTTTCAGGAGCCCTTTAAGAACCCTAGCTAAGTCCCATGATCCTCCAAGTATGGTCCTGTGAATCGGACACGGAGCTTGCAGAGGCTCGCCTGAGCCTTGCCTCCCTGCTGACAGGAGGTGCGTGGGAGTTATTATAGGGAGCTTGGGGTTCCTAGGGTTCCTTTAAAAACTTCGGGGTGCTTAGAAGTTATTTTAAAGCTTTGGTTACTATAGTCCCTAAGAAACCGCGGTTCAGTATAGTAAACGGGCGTATAAAGGTAACTACAAGGGATCTATAAGGGCCCCATAACATAGGAGCCTTAAGAATTACCTATACTCTTTTTTGGGGGGTTCCTTAGTGTACATGTAGTATAATGGGCGCCGAAACCCCATTCTGATTATTAAGGCTCCTATGTTACGTATGCCGAGCTTAAGATAAGGATTTACAGGGCCTTACAGGGTTTGGGATTTAAGGATTCGGGGTCAAAGGTCAAGGTTTCTCGGGGTCGACTTCATTTCAGGAGGTGGAAGAGCATGGCGAATCTAGCACGTATCAGGACATGCTTCCGAGGGTACTGGCCCGAAATTTGCTTAAAAACCAACGAGCTTTGCAGATGTGCACGGTTGTCAAGCGCGGGTTGATACTGAGCGTACCGAGAGTAACCAAGGTACGTACCTTAAACAGGGTACACGTACAGTTGTCTTGCTTTTAGGTACCCTAGGATAGAGCTTCGAATCATCAGCTGCCAAGCCCAAAAGTCCACAGAGTTCGATCCTTCTATGTCCATAAAGTAAAGTCTGTGGCAGGCCCGTCGCTTGAGAAACGTCTCCGTATACTATAGCCTTAGGTGT